GACACCAACTCCCCCCCCCCCTGTCAGAGACTAAATGCCCCCTGGTCAGACTAAATGCCCCCCGGTCAGAGACTAAATGCCCCCGTCAGAGACTAAATGCCCCCTGGTCAGAGACTTAAAGCCCCCCCGGTCAGAGACTAATCATCTTTTCACTACCCTGAAAATACCCTTCACTTTCAGATGATGATAAGGTACAGTACGTTATGTTGCTCATGATTTAGTATTAGAATATACAATTTTAAGCATACTAAACTATTAAACTGCATGGATTTTTGTGTGTTGTTGTTTTAAAAGTCTAGTTTTTTTGTTTGTTTTTTGTGGGGCCCCATTCCTCCTAAGTCTTATTATACTTGTAGCGTGCTTATTATATTGCTTAAATTTAATGGTTCACCCAGACGAAGCGCTTCAGTTATGAAGGGAAATAATCGATGTATACATAACTCGCTGTTACACAGTTGAAGAGTTACTGTAATTGGATGACGAAATATGATCCATTTTCATCACATCAACATGATATTTCATGCCCCTCGCAGTTGCGGCTTCTGCCGTGGAACTGCAGCAACCCATGTTCCCATATTTTCACTCGAAAATTTCTTAATAACGTGTACTTTAATATTATATATACTGTATGCTTTTATGCCTTCATAATATTTAATACTATGATATATTAATATATTTAATACTATGATTAATAATTCAAAACGTCAGTGGTCCACAGAGTGGTCATCGTCATTCATATCTTTTGTGAAATAAATACAAAAATGCTTTCATGGAACTGTGTATTTCATAATTCAATGGACGCGGTGTTTGTTCCGCGCATGTCGTCAGAGGGAAAAGGGACCAACAGTCAGTAGAGAAAAACGCTGTCGCTCACTCAGTTCCAATCTCGTCTGCGTGGGAAGCCGTGTTTATGTTGTTGTTTTTTCTCACTTTTGTAGCAGTGCGTGGCCTCTGTCACTTTGGTGTATCATAATTAGAGTATATGATTAAATGTGAACAGAATAAACTGTTTATGATAATCGTAATATTTGTATGTAAGTTAAAAATAAATTATTTGTTTTATTATACTATAGGCCTACAATATACAATTATATAAGTTTTCTTGCTGTGTATGTATTTCGTTTTTCACAATATTAAATATTTTTTCTGAAGCAGCAAACCCCCCCCCCTCTTTAGTCACAAGCTGCTACTGGTCCCTTAAGTTCAAAATATACTTAAATTAGATGAAATAACTCGTTAATTTATGCATTCCATTGTTAGGCCATATTTTGTTTAAAAAGCGCTACTACTAGCCACCAGCTCGCTCAATAATTCTTATAGTAATAATTAGATGTAGTTCATGAGTCTGAAGTTCATTTAGTGTGTTGGTGTTGTAAGTGGTAATTATGAAAAAAATGTGCAAAATGTTTTATGATAAATGAAGATAGGATACTGAGATTCTATAGGGCATTTGGAAGAGCAATTCGGGCCATGGGAAATGCCTGATTCGGAGATCTACGTTGGTGTTTTTTCCACATATTCACATATCTCATATGAATAATGAATGAGTTATATGTAGGCCTACAATTAATTAATTAGATTTTTAAACTCATGATTTTGCGCTGTGACTAGTTCGATCATGAACGTTTTTTAAATAAGTTTTTTGGTGCACAAAAATAAATTCATAAATATTAACGTCTTTCTTTCCTGTGGGCGGTGTGAAAGATAACTTTGCTCATTGCATGACAACATTGTGTTGAGATTGAGAGTTGGTACGTTGCTGCATCCATGTACTGGCATGTGTGCAACGGTTGGGGAAACACGTTCATTTGCTTGTCACTAAAGACTTGTCGTCCGAAAGTTGTGAAACTATAACATTATATTAATATTATATTGAATATTCATTCCTAGTCCAAGCCAAGGCATGACAATGTGCCAATCTCGGCTACCATTGTACAAAATATCCACAGATGTGGCGAATTAAAAGTAAAATTCACCCAGCTATACTATATGAATAAATAATAGAACACTATTATTAAATGAAATGAGGGTAAATAACGCCGAAGGCGGCGCCTCTACTAGTTACCCATTATCATTTAAGCATTGGGCAACACAATTAAACTGGGTCAAAGGTCATGGAATGGATGGAGCCTTGCACTACTGGAAATCAAGAAATGCACTGCTATCTGCATGAGTGTCTTTTCTCAGTAATGTGTTCAAAACGAAATGGAATTCGCATTCATAATCATCTAATCGATGCTACCATTATGTGATTTCCAAAACTACAATTAAAGACTGTTTCACATAAAAATTAAGCAGGCCCAAGACTGCTAAGGCCAAGAGGTAGGCAGGTAGGTAAAAAATTGTTGAAAAAATCTTAAGTATTGACTATCATCAATATACAGAATATACTTATACATGATCAATCACTTATTACTATACTATAATTTATAATCTATAAGTTGATAATGGTATTGATACGCCTAATATTTTTTTACTATGATGGTAGACATAGTTTGTGCCTAATCGCTTGAAATTATTTATATCTTGTAACTTGTAGGCATAGGCCCGTAGCCGTGCCGTATAATTTTCAATAATATGGCCATGGCTTAAATAGTAAATAGCTTATTAAATTAAGTTTTTTTTAAGATTAAGGATTTATCTTCAAATAACTTATTTGTAGAGCCCTCTGCAATAATATGAATATGATCATAAAAATATTGGTATTTAAATTTAATTTGTTGATGATAAGTATTATATTAAGATTGAAATTAACAACAGTTTAAGAATAAATAAATAAATAATAAATAATAATATTATAAAATTATATAATATTATATAACTATAACAAAATTGAAAACTCGTGGATAAATTTAAATACTGTAAATAATGATTTACTAGGGCTTAACCCAGTCCCAGTGCAGTTTTTTTTTATACTGGGTCTGTTTTTTTGTTGTTGAGAAAATAACATTACCAGGTGAACCAAGGACCAAGTGTTAAAAAAAATAGAGTTAACTTCTCAGTTTATTTAATATATGCTGGCCTTTAAATTTTAAACAATAGGCCTACAGACAGTCCTACACTTTACCTGCTGGCTGACACTCCTACACCCTACCAGCCAGCCTTTAAACCAGGGGTCTCAAACTCAAATCATGGTGGGGGCCACCGGAGATAGAGCCTGAGTGAGACTGGACTACAAATTCAATAAAGTACTACTGTTACAACCTTTATTAATAAAAAATAAAAACATTAAGGGTTCTCAAGAAATAGGCTTCATTTTCTTCCTCCTGCTCCTTGTTTCCAGAGACCTGGTAGCGCTTCTTGTTACACAGCTGAGTAAAATTTGGTTTGAGGGAGGAACCAACTTAGACTTTCAGAATAGCTTGAAGATGCTCATCAGTAGGCTAAGTTTGGCCCTGAACTTTGACTTTTAAAATTTCATAGTGGAAAAGAGCTTTTCACACAGATAGGTACTCCCAAAAAAAGGAACATGATCCACTTGAACAATCTGGAAATCTCAGGGAAGGTGGAGGGCAATGCTTTTATGAATTGTCCATGCTTATCTGTTTTTCCATTCACCTCCCTGAACTTAGAATTACATTGAAAATCAATCAGCTCCATTTGAAGTGCAAAGGGAGGGGGACGGGTCATCTTCCACATTAAAGGAGAAAGGGTCAGCAAAAAGTTGAAAAGTGGCTCTGTGTGTTTTGAAGTCTAAAAACATGTGATCAAATTCTTCCTGCAGCTTTGCCCTGGCATCAGTATACTTACTACTGAATGGTGTGCCCATGTCCATGAGTACTTTGCATGTCAGGAAATGGGAGAGGTTTCGCTAAGAACCATAACACTACAAGTTTTGTGCAGAATGCCCTGACATTGTCATAGGCAACACTGTCAAGCTACCCCTGGTCTTGCAACTTCTTGTTGAGTGCATTCAGCTCCTGTGTAATGTCAACAAGGAAAGCCAAGTCAATGTGCTGTATGGGATCACTTAGTATAGGAACAACCACCCCGTCCTTCTCCATGAAGGCTTTAAATGCTAAAACATGTTCATTCAAACGGTAGGTAAGAGCAGGTAATATTTATGAGTTATTGATGCGAAGGAAGATGCTATTGTAGGGAGAATGAATTTTGATTTTTTTCATCGTAGAAAAGACCTTTTTGACTAACCCCACTTTGAAAGTGAGCAAGCTGACAGGGTCAGAATTTTCCTCACTCGTAAACACAAGGGGAAATTATAATAGGGATTCTTTGAAACTGTATTAGATTCTTATTATTTACACAACTATCATTGGGCATTACCCTCTAACTGAATTTTTAACTTTTCTCAAAACAGCACTTTGGCCATGTTTGTTTCATAAAATGCTATAAAATAAAAACTTTTAGTCCGATTTAAAATGGTTTTTACCATTATAATCAACATTCAAATCTATATATATAAATATAATAAAAATCAGAATTAGATTAGTCGCTGAGATTCGACTGAAAGGGTCGCAGAGGGTCACATTATAGATATATTGGTGAGGAAAACGTGCAGGCCGCATTTATCACTTAACTTTGCTAACATGAAGTGGGCCGCAAAATATCTGAGTTCCACCATCATGCATGCAGCTGGATGCCGGGCCAGTTTTTTTTTTTTCACTCAGCACTATTGCTATAAAACCTGTGGAGTTGGGGGCAGGGCGGTTTTGAGGAGGAAGCAGGACATACCAGAAGCAAAATATATATACTATGAGAGATCATGTGAATGGTTAGATATAAAGTATATATATTGGTAACTTTTCTTTTTGAACATGTTTCAATTTTATTTTTCTTACAAAGGAATATCAAAAAAGGTAAAAATAAGGTCAAATCATCTTTTACTTATCTTGACAAAAAAAAGTTTGACCCCTTCTAATTATTAGTCACAAACCTCTCCCCCCCCCCCCCAACCCAATATTTCAAAATTTCAGTCAGTCAGCTGTGGGTTGATTGTAACCTTTTCTATTCTTATCCCGTGGATATCAAATTACTGCTCTTCTCCCATGGATATCAAATTACTGCTCTTATCCCATGGATATCAAATTACTGCTCTTATCTCATGGATATGAAATTACTGCTCTTATCCCATGGATATGAAATTACTGCTCTTATCCCATGGATATCAAATTACTGCTCTTCTCCCATGGATATCAAATTACTGCTCTTCTCCCATGGATATCAAATTACTCCTCTTCTCCCATGGATATCAAATTACTGCTCTTCTCCCATGGATATCAAATTACTGCTCTTCTCCAATGGATATCAAATTACTGCTCTTCTCCCATGGATATAAAATTACTGCTCTTCTCACATGGATATCAAATTACTGCTCTTCTCCCATGGATATCAAATTACTGCTCTTCTCACATGGATATGAAATTACTGCTCTTCTCCCATGGATATGAAATTACTGCTCTTATCCCATGGATATCAAATTACTGCTCTTCTCCCATGGATATCAAATTACTGCTCTTCTCCCATGGATATCAAATTACTGCTCTTCTCCCATGGATATCAAATTACTGCTCTTCTCCCATGGATATCAAATTACTGCTCTTCTCCCATGGATATCAAATTACTGCTCTTCTCCCATGGATATCAAATTACTGCTCTTCTCCCATGGATATCAAATTACTGCTCTTTTCCCATGGATATCAAATTACTTCTCTTATCCCATGGATATCAAATTATTGCTCTTCTCCCATGGATATCAAATTACTGCGCTTCTCCCATGGATATCAAATTACTGCTCTTCTCCCATGGATATCAAATTACTTCTCTTATCCCATGGATATCAAATTACTGCTCTTATCCCATGGATATCAAATTACTGCTCTTCTCCCATGGATATCAAATTACTGCTCTTATCCCATGGATATCAAAGTACTGCTCTTCTCCCATGGATATCAAATTACTGCTCTTCTCCCATGGATATCAAATTACTGCTCTTCTCCCATGGATATCAAATTACTGCTCTTATCCCATGGATATCAAATTACTGCTCTTCTCCCATGGATATCAAATTACTGCTCTTCTCCCATGGATATCAAATTACTGCGCTTCTCCCATGGATATCAAATTACTGCTCTTATCCCATGGATATCAAATTACTGCTCTTATCTCATGGATATGAAATTACTGCTCTTATCCCATGGATATGAAATTACTGCTCTTATCCCATGGATATCAAATTACTGATCTTATCCCATGGATATTAAATTACTGCATCTGTGTAAGAAAATTAAATAAGATCATTTTTATGGTCAACTATTTTTTCATTCCATTCCCCTAAATTTCAGGTTTCCATCTTGTACCTATTTTTAAACATAATTTGTCATGACTGACAAAGTCACTGCCTTTGACTCTGGTCCTCCATGCCGACCTCGTAGTAAAAAAGAAAATCAAATAAAATCAATGAAACAGCCACTTACGTAAGGCATTAACATTAAATAATTAAAATTGGTGTATAAATAAAATGTGAAAATTATTGTAATTCAATACATATTTCAATTGAATTCCACTTTTTAATGTCACTTTACTTAAGTGACATTCTGGGATCTGGGGAACAGATCAATTATATTTTAAATGTTAATATAAAAAATTGATGCAGAAGGGAGAATCCATAGGTTTTTTATAAAGGGTTATGTAACTTAAAATTTATTGGCTGAAGGTTGACATTTCAAACCAACTTTCACAACTAAAAGAATATTTTGGGAGGGGCACAATTATGTAATTGTGGACAGGAGTAAAAGAACAATAAATTGATGTAGTAAAAATACATTTTGGCATTGAGTCTTTATAATCAAAGCCAAGTTTTTCTCCTTTTTCGGTTTTCATTTGTGTTTTTTCTTTATTGTTTACTGTTACTGCATTCTTAACTACTGTCGATTTGTTACTGCATTCTTCACTACTATCAATTTGTCACTACATTCTTCACTACTATCAGTTTGTCACTACATTCTTCACCACTATCAGTTTATTAATGCATTCTTAACTAATATCAATTTGGGACTGCATTCTTCACTACTATCAGTTTGTTATTACATTCTCAATTACTATCCATTTGTCGCAACATGCTTCACTACTATCAATTTTTTCCTGCATTCTCAACTACTATCAATTTGTCATTGCATTCTTAACTACTAGCAGTTTGTTACTACATTCTTAACTATCAATTTGTCAAACATTCTTCACTACTATCAATTTGTTACTACATTCTCAACTACTATCAATTTTTCACAACCTTTCACTGCTATCAATTTTTTCCTGCAACCCTACTATAAAGATAAACAATCCTCTTTGCTCAAAACATACATCAAGGTTTCAGATCCATATGCCAGTGATCTTGCACTGTCTGATTATGTGACTGTGAGTGAAGTAGAATCTCTTAAGTTGCCATTTTAATCACTGACTGAAACACATATTTTTTATAAACAAGTAGAAATGAAACTCATACACCTTCCCTTTCACTACCAGTTATTTTTATTGCAGGTTTACATACAAATTATTTTATGTGTAGTTAAAACTGATACTAGTATTGCTATGGTACCAGTACAAATAATGTTTTATTAAATCAAAATGAAAGACAAGTATGGGGAATTCAAAATTTTGCAAAAAATATAACCAAATTAAAACCAACTTATGTTATTACGTAAGATCAGTAAATGAGTGTAACTTCCAAAATAAAAAATGAGAAACTATGAATTTTTATCAACAGCGTCAGGTACCAGCTTGATCAATTAAGAAGTAATTTTGTTTTTGTATTGTGTCTGAATGTCTTAGTAGACATTTGTAGTTCTCTTGAATACTTTGAGTTTTGATCCTCTTCTTATATTTGAGGGCCCACGAACAATGTGTTGATCTGGAATGTAATTAATGTTTGGAATGATTGGAGTTCAAATTATTTCCCAATGTCACAAAACTTTAAAAAAAAATTAATTTAAAGTAAATGTGATAGAAATTCAACCTTGGCTTTTATTCACTCTAAACTTTCTGACCTTTTTAGTTCACTCAGCACACAAAATCAAATCTCCCTTGCTACAAGGTGGTCAGTACAAAAATTGGCAAGAGTATTTTTTCCTTCAAGGCAACCTTGTTATAATTTAAATTTAATTTTCAATGGATTAAGGGATAATATAACGAGTTTGATCTTCACATTATAGAGTATGTATAGCTGCCCTGTTGATATGCCTATATTTTATGTGTTATGTGTTGTATTTATTTTAACTGTAGCCCGCTTTGAACTTAGCCTAACCAATCAAATGGTGTGAATATATAATATTGTATTCAAATTTGCCCTCATAAAAGATTTCATATTTGCTCAAAAATTGGGTGGATCTCAAAAATCATGTGTGCACTCCAGACTATTAGTATTAGGTTTGGGGGCAGCTGGTTACATGTCAATGAGACCAAACAGCTGTGCCGTGTAAAACATACAACATCATTGGGAAGCCTGGCTCTCCTTTTCCTACACTGTCTTGTCATTATAAATCCAATTATTTGAAAACTTGGACATGTGGCTTCTAAATCATGATGCTTTCTAGCCATCCAAATTCTTCTGATGGAAATTATTTAAATGTAGGCTTCGAACAAGAACTGCACACCACCCCACGTGATTTTTATAGAAAGGAAACTTCCTCGGTCTGATTATTCCTAGATGCCTCATTATGCTAGCTTTGTACACAGATGATGCAAATTAAGTGCTGTGGATGTCAGGATATAAAAGTTGAAGTGGATGACAGGATATAAAAGTTGAAGTGGATGACAGGATATAAAAGTTGAAGTGGATGACAGGATATAAAAGTTGAAGTAGATGTCAGGATATAAAAGTTGAAGTGGATGACAGGATATAAAAGTTGAAGTGGATGACAGGATATAAAAGTTGAAGTGGATGACATGATAAAAAAATGTTAAAGTGGATGACAGGATATAAAAGTTGAAGTAGATGTCAGGATATAAAAGTTGAAGTGGATGCCAGAATATTAAAATGAATGTCAGAATATAAAAGTTGAAGTCGATGCCAGGGTATAAAAGTTGAAGTGACCTCTGATTTGTAATGTCAACTGCTTCAAGAGGTTTCAGGATGTTATCTCTTGAGACAGGTAAGTCCAGTCTCGTCTTGTACTTGTAGGTCCAGTCTCTGCATGTAGGTCCGGTCTTCTTATAGGTCCATTCTTCATGTAGGTCAAGCCTCTGCTTGTAAGACCAGTCTCAGCTAGTGGGTCAGACTCTGCTCTTAGGTCCAGTCTGCTTGTAGGTCTAGTCTCTGCTTGTAGGTCCAGTCCTTGCCTGTAGTTCCAGTCCTTACTTGTAGGTCCAGTCTCTGCTTGAAGGTCCAGTCTCTGCTTGAAGGTCCAGTCCCAGCTTGTAGGCCCAGTTTCTGCTTGTAGGTCTAGTCTCTGTTTGTAGGTCCAGTTCCTACTTGTAGGTTCAGTCTCTGCTTGTAGGTTAAGTTTCTGCTTGTAGGTCTAGTCTCTGTTTGTAGGTCCAGTCCCTACTTGTAGGTTCAGTCTCTGCTTGTAGGTCCAGTTTCTGCTTGTAGGTCTAGTCTCTGTTTGTAGGTCCAGTCCCTACGTGTAGGTTCAGTCTCTGCTTGTAGGTCTAATGTCTGCTTGTAGGTCTAATGTCTGCTTGTAGGTCAAGTTCTGCTTGTAGGTCCAGTCTTTGCTTGTAAGTCCAATCCTTGTTTGTAGGTCCGTTCTCAGCTTGTAAAACCTGTTCGCTGATGCTCTAGTAATATCATGGATGTGGCCAAGTTTTCTCCATTTTTGTTTTGCACACGATGATTTCAGTGAGGTCAAACGTATCTCGTGACATAATGCTATGTATGGCTTGTCACATGATGCTATATATGGCTTGTCACATGATGCTATGTATGGCTTGTCACATGATGGCCACCATATTTAGAAGGGTCGTGGATATAAGAATGTTAGACACCATATTTAGCTGGGATGTGGAAATAAGAAAGATAGACACCATATTTAACGTGGTTGTGGATATAAAAAAGATAGACACCATAGTTATCTGGCATGTGGATATGAGAAGATGGCCACCATATTTAGCTGGGTCGTGGATATAAGAAAGATCTCGATAATTGGAATGAATGGATGGTGTTTTCCGTCAAATATTTTTACTGAGTATAATCACTGACATTGGGTGGATCCAACATATAACTGAGCTTGGGTGGATCCAACATATCACTGACCTTCGGTGGATCCAACATATAACTGACTTTGGGTGGATCCAACATATAACTGACATTGGGTGGATCCAACATATAACTGACATTGGGTGGATCCAACATATAACTGACATTGGGTGGATCTAACATATAACTGACATTGGATGGATCCAACATATCACTGACAATTGGTGCATCCAACATATAACTGACCTTGGGTGCATCCAACATACCACTGACCTTGGGCGCAACCAACATATCACTGACCTTGGCTGCAACCAACATATCACTGACATTGGATGCATCCAACATATCACTGACCTTGGGAGTCACATATCACTGGCCTTGATGGGTCACATATCACTGACCTTGGTGCGCAACCAGGATATCACTGACTTTGGTTGGTGCTTATCACTGACCTTGGGCGCAACCAGCATACCACTGACCTTGGGGGGTTATATATCACTGACCTTGGACGTCGCATATCACTGACCTTGGACGTCGCATATCACTGACCTTGGACGTCGCATATCACTGACATTGGGCGGTACTTATCACTGGCTTTGGCTGGTACTTATCACTGAGTTTGGCTGATACTTATCGCTGAATTTGGGTCCTCAAATTTAATGACTCTGATACTCAATAAATGAGTTGAATTGTTTGCATCACCAAACACTCAACTTTCCAACAAGCGATAGTTCAAAAGACTTGACCCGGAAATGAAATAACTTTTTGCAGTTTCTTGCTATAACTATAACCCTGTTATTTGATTTTTTACCATTCTTCTTAAGACTTTAGACATCTCCTGACAGGCGTTGAGTTGGAGAAGTCATGACTGACTGGGGTTGGGTTGGAGAAGTCATGACTGTGCCGAGGAAGAGCGGCGCCCGGGGCGAACCCAAAAAATGGCGCCCACCAATATGTAGAACAATTTCCGCCTAGGGCGGACGAGTAAAAAGACGATTAAGGCACCCCTTGTCTTTGTGAAGTACACGGCATTTTATCGTTTAGTTCCCTACAAATGTCCGATCTTAAGTCGACTTTGGCGCCCCCCCCCACCCTTTCGCAGGCCCCTGGGACGAGTATGCAGGTAAAGTTAAAAGGCCATGTCCTTTGAACTTTGTTTGTTAACTACTATTCTTAGTCAATTCGTTTAGCGACAACTGTTGAGTGGAGTCTCAAGTCCGTGCATGACGGCCAGTGATTGGCCCATACTGACTTACACACGCGCGGGCTTACAGTATCAGCTGACACAGTGCATGGTGACCTCGTTGGAGTAGTCAGTCAACAGTGGTCCTCAAATGGTGACATGTTAGAGCAGTCAGTCAACAATGGTCCCCAATTAGTGATATGTTGGAGCAGTCCGTCAACAGTGGTCCTAAAATGGCTTTTGACCTTCTTGGCCAATGTCTGACAACTGTTGATATTCTTGCTATACTCCTACCTATTTGTGGTCTACCCGTATAATGTTAGAGTGGTGTACCCAAGGACCATATTATGAGTTTTTTACCCATAGTAATGTTATATAAGAGTGGTAATACGATCGGTAATCCACTCTTCTATTATTACTATTGGTACACCACTCTTCTATACTTACATTACTATTGGCACACCACTCTTCTATTATTACTGCTGGCATACCACTCTTCTATTATTACTATTGGTACACCACTCTTCTATACTTACATTACTATTGGAACACCACTCTTCTATTATTACTATGTGTACACCACTATTCTATTATTACTATTGGTACACCACTCTTCTATTATTACTATAGGCACACCACTCTTCTATTACTACTATTGGTACACCACTCTTCTATTATTACTATTGGTACACCACTCTTCTATTACCAATATTAGCACACCACTCTTCTATTATTACTATTGGTACACCACTCTTCTATTACCAATATTAGCACACCACTCTTCTATTATTACTATTGGTACACCACTCTTCTATTACTACTATTGGTACACCACTCTTCTATTACCAATATTAGCACACCACTCTTCTATTACTACTATTGGTACACCACTCATCTATTATTATTATTTGCACACCACTCTTCTATTACTATTATTGGCACACCACTCTTCTATTACTATTATTGGCATACCACTCTTCTATTACTATTATTGGCACACCACTCTTCTATTACTATTATTGGCACACCACTCTTCTATTACTATTATTGGCACACCACTCTTCTATTACTATTATTGGCACACCACTCTTCTATTACTATTATTGGCACATCACTGCGTGTGTGAGAGCACAGGAGATGACGGTTCAGGTGGCAGACATCTTTTAGGATTACGGACTGTATGTTCAGACCTTTCACCCCCACGCCTTCGCCGTGGTAACTATGTTTGTAAGCCTAAGACAAAGACCACGTCACTACGACGAGCCTAAGACTACAACGAGCCTAAGACCACGTCATTTCGACAAGCCTAAGACTACGACACTACGACGAGCCAAAGACCACGGCACATCGACGAGCCTAAGACTACGACACTACGACGAGCCTAAGACTACGTCACTACGACGAGCCTAAGACTACGGCACTACGACGAGCCTAAGACTACGTCACTACGACGAGCCTAAGACTACGTCACTACGACGAGCCTAAGACCTGTTCTCATCCTTAATCCTTAAGAACCACACATCAGAACTATAACCTGTATCAACCTGTATTAACTTGAATTGTTTGTCTTAACTTACATAAGCAGTTGAGTGGATTTCCTTACACAACTTATATTTTGATTGCGAACCAGCGCCCCCTCCCCGCCCTGCGCTCATTGACCACACCGCTCTTTGGAGCGTGAAACTACGTTTGTTAGATCTGAAAACTTTGCCGACACTAACCCTGGGCAAACAGGTCTGTATTATTCCAAATAGAAGATAGCGTCAGACACATTTTAAAGCACTGCAATTAAATATAAAAATAACACACACACACACTCCTGCACTGTATCTCGAAGTTCAAAGACAAGAATGTCTTAGTATGTAATTATCATGTAATAGGTCATGACATTAGATGGGACCTACTTGTACTTACTGTTATCAGTGCATCCAGAACACTGTTTAATCAGGCCGGATAGTTGTGACGTTGTGGGTCAATGTGTCACGTGACGGTCCCGGGGGGGGGGGGGGGGGGGGTCCAGCACTATTGGTAAAATCCCCCCTTACAATTATTATCATCATTTCACATAGACTCAGATTTCATAAACTGAACATTGTAACACTTTATGCTCTCACGTAGAAAACACACCAGCACGCTGGGCTATGTTATAGATATACGGTCTGCTTGTATCAGCTCTAAGTAGATAACAGCATGCTTGACGGCAAGTGTCAACACGAATCCGCGTCCAAAGAAGCTGATTTACCGCAAGTAGAAAAGATCATAAAATTGTCATCAATGGCTTTGCGTTCAAGTGTAGATTCTGCTCTAGGAGAACTCTGGTCTAAATGGATAGGTTCAGTTCTATTTGCAAGGTGCTGTCCTGTAATCGAGGATGAGTGAGGGGGGTGGGCTGGGGGGCAAGAAAAAGAGGGGGCAAAGAACAGTGGGCATAAGCAACAGAGGGTCCAAACGACAGTGGGCATAAGCAACAGAGGGGGCAAACATGAGTGGGCATAAGCTACTGAGGGGGCAAATAACAGTGGGCATAAGCAACAAAGGGGGCAAACAACAGTGGGCATAAGCAACAGAGGGGGCAAACATGAGTGGGCATAAGCTACTGAGGGGGCAAATAACAGTGGGCATAAGCAACAAAGGGGGCAAACAACAGTGGGCATAAGCAACAGAGGGGGCAAACACCAGTGGGCATAAGCAACAGAGGGGGTAAACAATAGTGGGCATAAGCAACAGAGGGGGCAAGCAGCAGCATGGGCATAAGTAACAGAGGGGGCAATCAAGAGAGGGGGCAACCAACAGAGAATTCCATGTTTGGGGGCGCAGAAAGGTAAATATTGTTCACCGTATGTTTAAGTGCGTGTTTTGGGAACAGGAAGAATGCGCGTGTCTGCATAGGAGCGAAGCTATGCTGTCCAAGGGGCGAATAGACAGGAAGAATGCACATGTCTGCATAGGAGCAAAGCTATGCTGTCCAAGGGGCGAATAGACAGGAAGAATGCACGTGTCTGCATAGGAGCGAAGCTATGCTGTCCAAGGGGCGAATAGACAGGAAGAATGTGCGTGTCTGCAGGGGAGCGAAGCTGTGGTGTCGAAGGGGGAATAGACAGAAAGAAGAAACTAAGCCTGTCAACAGTTGGCAGACATAGAACAAACATTACCCATATTAATATAAGAGTGATGTAACCATATTAATATAAGAGTGATGTACCCTTTTTAATATAAGAGTGGTGTGCCGATAGTAATATAAGTATAAGAGTGATGTACCCATAGGTAATAAGGGGAGAGACTGTTGACACTTCTATTGCTGCCCACAGATACTACTTACCAGCTAAGTGCTATTTCTTATTTTTATACCGTTTTTTCTGTTGTTTTGTTCGCTGACGAAGGCTTTCTGCCGACACGTTCGCTGTTTTGTTGCGTTTATTTTTTCAGGTTTAACCCTACTCTGTTTTACTCATTTTATTACAGTGCAGAACAGTGGGATCAAGTATTTGATTGTAAAAACCGTCTCGTCTCTAGTTTTCTCCGTTTTCACAATCGCCGCAGTTTAACGGAACAAAACTACGTCACACGCTGGGTAGCAGTCAAAGGGGATGGCAGTGAATAGTATAAATATTACCGGTGACGCAGCTAACTAGTTCAGTGTGACACACAAAGCAACAGTATGACAATTATCACCATCAATACGATACTTTGCGGTGATATTTTTATAACCTTTGGCACTCCGACCAACCCCCCACCCATGTGTCCCGTATGCCGCAAATCTCCTTCATTAACAGCCCCCACCTCCCCTCTCAGTGCGCACATAAATATAATGAAGGATGGTCCCAACTTTAAAAAAAAATACAACCAATCGTTTTTCTCATTTCATTCACCTGTAGATTTTTATTGGAAAAGGCTAAAACTAAAACTTCAACAAACGAATTTTAATCGGAATTTTTTTTTTTTTTCACCTGGCCTCTGAAAGTCGTAGTTTTGGCGGGTCTCGCGTACAATCGTAAAAGACATCTCAAAATCGTACATTGTACGCCAAAATCGTAAGAGTAAACAGGTCTGATTAACACATCCTTATAACTAGTTTTCTTAGTTTATCTAATAATAATAGAGTAATAGAGAATAAATACTGTAGAAAAAAAAAAGGAATTCTTATTACTTATTACTATTATTGGCAAATTGATAAATTTCTTATTTACAAAGAATAATTGTACAAACAATTAATTTAAAACAAATTATTATTTTTTGTATACATTTATATTGTTTAATTATATTAGAATCAAAAACATTTGTTTAATCAGATGTTTCAACGATTTAGAAATGTTTTATTTAAACCTTTATTTCCAAATAATTTCACCTCCCTCCGGTCAATAAAATAATGTAAAAAAAGATAGCCGCCGTTTTTTCATAACATGTGGATTTTTTTTGTTCGCTCGGTATCATAAATTCTAGCAACAGCCAGTAATGTTAACAATAAATGCTTTCAATGTTACTGCGATCAAGCTAGCTCGTCTTAAAGTTGGTGGGGGGGGGGGGGGTTGTGTTAAAAAGAATTTGTGACACTTTGTGACAGTGGCGGAGGGGGGTCTAAAAAGGTCATTTTTTTGCGTGACGTAATTTGCAAACGACCCCTAAGAGGTTGATGCCTATTTAAAGTTGAGCTTGATTGTGCAGCTAACATTGTCAAATTCATATCCTTATTTAACAAATTTTCTTCATGTTTGCCAAAAAAAAAAAGGATCCATTTTAACCAGTCGTCACCCCCTGTGGAATTCTCCTTTGTACATTCTCCCCTTGGGATTCTCCTACGTGCACATACTCCATGACGGATTCTCAGTTGTGCATTTCTTGCTGTACTTTCTACCAACTCTAACTTATGTGATATCTGTGTTGGTACACCTTGCCCCACCCTGTACTTTCTACCAACTCAAACTTATGTGATATCTGTGATAGTGCACCTTGTCCCACCCTGTCTCGTATTGTCACAGACACTTGTAGTGATTAGTGGCTCATCAGCTCCATGAAGAGGCTGCTAATCTAATGAGGTGTTATAAATTATCCCACTCTTAAACAGGTCCAAAACGTGAGCCAGACTTAAGATTGTGAGAATGCTATGCACTTATCAAGCCACTGATAGATGGGGCATGTTGGCTGGCCTACCTGTTGATTGACTTGTAGGCCCAGGTGGACTCTCACTTACACAACAAGGGTCACCTTAGTGGTGGTCTGGCTTTCTCAGGTGAGATTTTTCTACCCCAGAATGGACAGCATAGATGGACATTAATAATTGATCAGTGCTATACTCATCCAGTTGTTTTGTGTTGTGGTCGTTTTTCTTCTTGCCCGAGCCAGGAACTATGGGACGGATATTTGGATATTCATAGTACAGCTTTACAAGGCATGGTTTTATAATCATTCCCTAGTCTAAATGTGGCAATATTTCTACATTGACTACCTTACATAAAGACAGACGGATGTAGACATTGATATGTACAATTTATCACACTGTTTGCTTACAACAGGGTCATGCTCAATGCTGTTCATTTTCAGGGTTACTCCTGACCTTGACATTGGTGTGATTTTAATCAAGGATGTCAGCCTCCAGTTTTCTGGGATGTAATTGATCCCTGGTTTTAGTCTTACTTTAGCAACTTCCATCTTGACTTTTGTCTTGTCTGCTTCATGCACCCCAATGTAATGTCTGCCTCTTTTAATGTTACCAAACTAATACTGGATGTGAATGATTCTGTAGCATTTTATTATAGACATGAATGCCCAATTGAAAATCTACTGACATGTAGATAATGGCATACAAGCAGTAGGTAAATTCTCCTCCATTTCAAATCTTATTCACAAACAGGGAATTTTCAAGCTATTTGGTTTTCTTAATATTTTTTAAAGATTTATTTGTTGAAAATAAACCAGCTACATTGCATAATCCTACATCTATAATATCATTTAAACTTAAAAGTTGTGGACAGGTCTTATTTGAGTAATTGTATTTTTAAAAATTAAAATACATTTCCATCATTAAAATACAAGAAGCTTTGAGTGAAATATTAATCCTATGTTTTCTTGACAGCAGTGAGAAGAGCGGCACAATACAATGACATCGGTTGATGACAAAACCCTTCTGGCCGTTCCGCAGCCACCTGTCCAAGTGGGCAAGAAAGCCAGTGAAACTCACCCTGTCCAGCCGGACGGGGGCTGGGGTTGGGTGGTCTGCTTCTCCTCCATGGCGTGCAATGGGACAGTGTTTGGCATCATCAACAGCTTTGGGATCCTGTTTGTGGCCATGACAGATCACTATGCCAAAGATGATCGAAATATGTCATTTAAGACATGTAAGTGCTTTAATATCATCTTTCATTGTCAAAATTATAGTTTGATACAAGTCTCGGGTTTTTTAAAATAAAGATTTGTTTTATTTAACAAAGTTTTAAAGCATAGATTTGAGTTAAAATTTTTAAACATTTCCCTGTACAGTAATACATATATGAACGACCAGTCATTGAGTTGTGTACTAAAATAAATAAATGACTTTCCCTTATAAATGTCTCTTGATTAAATAATTAGCAATCATTTTTTTTTTTATTAAGTTAAACAAAGAAAAATGTTAATGGGGTTGGTTGAAGCCTTAAGATTTATATTAGAAAAGAAATATTCTCTCCGAGTTGGCCCACTGTGGTGACACCGTGCTCTTATGGCAACCTGCTCTGGTGGTACCCTACTCTAGTGACAGGTGGAACAACGCTCTTGTAGTAAACTTAGATGTGTTATGGAACCAGCTTAATCCAGCTCTGTCCCATTTACTATTTTTTATTGGGTATCATCCCCCTGTGAGGATGTCACCCAATTTATTTTGTACTTTTTATATTTATAATTGTATTCTCCATATAAATAAGTATAATAAAGCATTTTGAAGTAAATAGTATGATTTTCTTCCTTTCAAATTGGGGGATGAAATTGGTGTTAACATGGGTGTTAATGGCTAAAAAATTTAGCTGACCCTTGAGCTAATCTGAACATTTGTGTTAGTTTAAACATTGCTTTAAATATCCACTGACGATTTGGTCTTCTCTCATTGCCAGCTTGGGTCGGTTCAGTCAACACCGGCATCACCTTCCTCATGTGTATGATCTCAAGTATCATCAGTGACCGACTGGGCATCAGGCTGACCGGCATCATTGGTGGCGTCCTGGCTTTTATCGGCCTTTTGTCCAGCGCCTTTGTGGAGGAACTCATGCTGCTCTACCTGACTTACGGCATCATCGCAGGCCTGGGCTTTGCCTTCTCATATGCCCCCTCACTGGTCATCCTGGGACACTACTTTAAAAGACACATGGGTCTAGTCAACGGCCTGGTCACCTTCGGGTCATCTGTATTTACCATTGGATTGGTCATGGGTCTTCCGGCCATTCTTGATGCCATTGGACTAAGATACACGCTCATCTTCCTGTCATGTCTTTCATTGCTGCTGGTGCCCTACGCCCTCACATGGAAGCCCATTTTCACCAGAGAAAACCTGGGTTTGTCCCAGGCAGCTATGTCTACGATGTCTATTGAGATGATTCAGAGCCAATGTGCCGATTGCTGTAGATTCACGCGCAAGTACCTCAATGTGAAAATCTGGAGAAACAAAGGCTACGTCATATGGGCCTTGTCCTGTGGAATATCTTTATTTGGATATTTTGTGCCTTTTGTTCATCTGGTGAGTATCAATTTAATACACATAAATGAATATTTATTGAATTAAAATCAGACAGTTTTAAGTTTGGGACTCAAACATTTATATAGATTTGATTATTTGTCTGTTTTAGAACAAACGTAGTCACTCAGAATTGTTTTGAGAGGATTTCTAGCCATAAACAAGGTAGGCTGTTGAGGATGAAGCTATTGCCTTTGAGATGATTTCTTGCCATAAACAAGCTAGGCAGTTGATAATGAAGCTATTGCCTTTGAGAGGATTTCTTGCTATAAAAAGCTAGGCTGTTGAGGATGAAGCTATTGCCTTTGAGAGGATTTCTTGCCATAAACAAGCAAGGCTGTTGATGATGAAGCTATTGCCTTTGAGAGGATTTCTTGCCATAAACAAGCAAGGCTGTTGATGATGAAGCTATTGCCTTTGAGAGGATTTCTTGCCATAAACAAGCAAGGCTGTTGATGATGAAGCTATTGCCTTTGAAAGGATTTCTTGCCATAAACAAGCAAGGCTGTTGATGATGAAGCTATTGCCTTTGAGAGGATTTCTTGCCATAAACAAGCAAGGCTGTTGATGATGAAGCTATTGCCTTTGAGAGGATTTCTTGCCATAAACAAGCAAGGCTGTTGATGATGAAGCTATTGCCTTTGAGAGGATTTCTTGCCATAAACAAGCAAGGCTGTTGATGATGAAGCTATTGCCTTTGAGAGGATTTCTTGCCATAAACAAGCAAGGCTGTTGATGATGAAGCTATTGCCTTTGAGAGGATTTCTTGCCATAAACAAGCAAGGCTGTTGATGATGAAGCTATTGCCTTTGAGAGGATTTCTTGCCATAAACAAGCAAGGCTGTTGATGATGAAGCTATTGCCTTTGAGAGGATTTCTTGCCATAAACAAGCAAGGCTGTTGATGATGAAGCTATTGCCTTTGAGAGGATTTCTTGCCATAAACAAGCAAGGCTGTTGATGATGAAGCTATTGCCTTTGAGAGGATTTCTTGCCATAAACAAGCAAGGCTGTTGATGATGAAGCTATTGCCTTTGAGAGGATTTCTTGCCATAAACAAGCAAGGCTGTTGATGATGAAGCTATTGCCTTTGAGAGGATTTCTTGCCATAAACAAGCAAGGCTGTTGATGATGAAGCTATTGCCTTTGAGAGGATTTCTTGCCATAAACAAGCAAGGCTGTTGATGATGAAGCTATTGCCTTTGAGAGGATTTCTTGCCATAAACAAGCAAGGCTGTTGATGATGAAGCTATTGCCTTTGAGAGGATTTCTTGCCATAAACAAGCAAGGCTGTTGATGATGAAGCTATTGCCTTTGAGAGGATTTCTTGCCATAAACAAGCAAGGCTGTTGATGATGAAGCTATTGCCTTTGAGAGGATTTCTTGCCATAAACAAGCAAGGCTGTTGATGATGAAGCTATTGCCTTTGAGAGGATTTCTTGCCATAAACAAGCAAGGCTGTTGATGATGAAGCTATTGCCTTTGAAAGGATTTCTTGCCATAAACAAGCAAGGCTGTTGATGATGAAGCTATTGCCTTTGAAAGGATTTCTTGCCATAAACAAGCAAGGCTGTTGATGATGAAGCTATTGCCTTTGAAAGGATTTCTTGCCATAAACAAGCAAGGCTGTTGAGGATGAAGCTATTGCCTAATGGTATATTAAAAACGGTGAATGCGTCTAGGCATTATATTTGGTCAGTCACCTGAAAGCTGAGCATTCAGTCTCCTGCAGCCTATTGTCTACTGTTAGCATAAACAATGTAACGCTGAAATCAGGTTGTGAGGTCAAGGCAATACTAATGAGAGAAGAGACCGGGATATTAGTCTTGCTAGGAGGAAGGACTGAGAAGAATCTGTATCATGGGAAGAGGTGTCTCATTTCAAGGGTTCTCTGTTTATTGTTGTATGCACCCAGGGGGATTATCTTTTTCTGTTATTAAAGTTATGATTGAATTGGATTATCCCAAATACTTTCATATTTTTAAATTTAAAAAAAAATATATTGAAAAAAACAACTCTTTGCATAGACATAGTAAAATTGTAGGTCATCTCTGGTGAATTTCTAAATATAAAAGTTAAATTTAAATAAAGTCTATAAGTCAAAGCTTCAGTTATAAGTTTATTGAAATTTTTCCATATACTGGTTTTTTAATTGTATCTTTAAAAATATATATTTTTTTCCTTTAATTTTTGGAACGCAAAAGCTGCCATTTTGGACACACTGTTCTCACTGTCTTGTACCATAGCTATAAATAGATGCAGCAGACTTTGCAACCAGCACTTTATGTGGACGTAACTCAAAAGTGTATATAATTTTTAAATATGATGTCCAACAGTTTACAGTCCTGTTGATGATGACCTCAGTTATGGCTGTGGGCTTTTCCCAGTAGTAATTTGTTATTCCTTTACAGATGACCTCAGTTATGGCTGTGGGCTTTTCCCAGTAGTAATTTGTTATTCCTTTACAGATGACCTCAGTTATGGCTGTGGGCTTTTCCCAGTAGTAATTTGTTATTCCTTTACAGATGACCTCAGTTATGGCTGTGGGCTTTTCCCAGTAGTAATTTTTTATTCCTTTAACACAGCAGTTAATACGAGCAACACAATCAGTCTATTTATTCTTCAATGATAAGATGTACATCTGAGGGGAAACATTAGCTGAACGTTTGTGTTTGCTTATTTCAAGAAATGTTTTCTTTGTTATCCATCATGCTATCCATCATGTTATCCATCAACTCTTGCTATAAAAATTGTAAATAATTGACGTCGGACATTTGCACTGCGTTGACATTTTTCATTACTCAACTCACGCCATGTTTTCAAATGTTATCCAACACGTCACACCATGCTAGCCATTGTCATCCTGCTACTAACAATGACATTCATATAAATTCAATGCATCCTTCCCTGTGGCACTACAGCCCATGTAAGGCTTATGCCTACCACACCACTTCCTTCCACTCAGACCTAACTGATGCTTTTCTTTTCCATGCTTTGATTCGCAGCTGCTGTAGATCTTTTTTTCCCACATCTTCTATCCATCAAAGCCTTTGGGGTTTTCGTAATGCACCCTCTTCACCCCACTGTCATTTGGCATTCTCTCTAAGTGTCCCACCCATCGCAGCCTGCCCTTTTTTTAAAATTTTCAGCCACTATCGTAAGATCCTGGTATTGTCCATAAAATTCCTGGTTGGCTTGTATTCCAGACCTGTTCACTCTTACGATTTGGCTCACAATATATTATTTTGAGACGTCTTTTACGATTGTACCAGTAGGCCAAGACCTGTCAGAACTTCGTTTTTAAGAGCATTAGTTGAAAATATATACATTCCGGCATGGGCGCCCGCAGGGGGGGGGGGGCACTTGCCCCCCTCCCCCCCTGGATTGATTGGATAAAAAAAATTTAGACAAAAATAGACAAAAAATGTATGAAAGTAAAGGGAAAATAAAGAGAAAGTAAATAAGCTGATGTCCTGTCCGTTCGTTCACCATACAAATACGCTACAGTAAATTAAAACTACATTAAAATATTAATAAAAATTTTTTGCCCTCCCTGGAAAGTTAATCGATTTTTTTGCCCCCCCCCCCTAGAAAGTTTTCTGCGGGCGCCCATGCATTCCGGTAGTATTTCTAAAAAAAATAATTTTTAAAATAAATTTATAGTTATTAGTTTTAGCTCCTTTTTAGATCCAAAAGTGAACGTATCAAGAAATACCTCTGGTTGGGAACCATCTGCATGTTTATTACCTTTGACCTTAGAGGGCAAAAGTGGGGGGCATTGATTTAGGAGATTATGTGTGCGGGGGGGGGGGGGGGGATTGAAGGGGTTAAATTTTTTAATTTTTAAAAAATGCAGTGTAGACCTGCGTGGATTCGCCCGGCTTCGGTGGGGGGGGGGGAATTGAAGTGTTTAAATTTTTAAATTCTCTAAAAATAACACTGGCATGAATTTGAGGCGATATTGTACGATCTTTTGATTTTAGGATTTTGAGGGTACAGGTCTCCAGGTCTGGTATTGTTCATCAATATTCATCCTTTTTTGGTCCAATTATTTTCTGGAGAACTTTTCTTTCCCATGTCTTGTGTTTAATAGGTTTTCTGTCATTTTCATTAGGCTCCAAGCTTCACTTGCGAATGTTACAATAGGTCTAATTACAGAATTATAAATAGTTTTCTTTGTTTTTCTTGTAATGTTTTTTACTTTAGAGTATTTCTGAGTACCGGTACCGAATTTTGCCTTGTTTCTGGCTGATATTCCATTATTTCTGATACAGTAGTAATTCAATTCTTTCATTTATGGCTTATGTCATCCTAGACATACTTTAATACCATATTGCTTACAGTAGCATATAATGCATAGGTGCCCATGTAGGGCTTTGGCCTACCTTACCATTTCCTTCGCCTCAACTAATGCTTTTCTTTTCCATGCTTGGATTCCTAGCTTCTGTAGATCTCTCTCCACATCATCCGTCCATCTAAGCCTATGTCTGCCTTTGAGCTGTTTTCCTCTGGGGTTTTGGTTATGCACCCTCTTAACTCTTCTGTTATTTGGCATTCTTTCTAAGTGTCCTGCCCATTGCAGCCTGCCCTTTTTAATTTCTGCTACTAGTGTTGGTTATAGAGAGTGCCTGTTGGTTGTGGGTCTTGATATTTCCTTGAAAAGTATCCTGTTATTGTTTCTCTTCTGGTGTCAATGTGTATGCTTCTTAAAACTATATTTATTTTAGGTTAAATAGTAAACAAGACAGTGAGTCTCCTTGTCTTAGGCCTCATCTAATCTGAAATTCCCTGGAATATTCACCATGTACCTTGATTTTACCTTCTGAGTTGTTTCATGTTGTATGTCATTCTTGTATGTTTGCCCCTGACCATTGGGATGTTGAAGCATTGGGATGTTCACCCCTGACCATTGTGATGTTCACCCCTGGCCATTGTGATGTTCACCCCTGACCATTGTGATGTTCACCACTGACCATTGTGATGTTCACCCCTGACCATTGTGATGTTCACCCCTGACCATTGTGATGTTCACCCCTGACCATTGTGATGTTCACCCCTGACCATTGTGATGTTCACCCCTGACCATTGTGATGTTCACCCCTGACCATTGTGATGTTCACCCCTGACCATTGTGATGTTCACCCCTGACCATTGTAATGTTCACCCCTGACCATTGTGATGTTCACCCCTGACATTTGGGATGTTCACCCCTGACCATTTGGATGTTCATCTGAAAGAGACCAATGAACCAACCATAAAAACTCTGCTATTTATGATTCCATTAGATCAAGTACGTCAATGGTGCCTTTCCAGGCAGCAATGGCAGCATTCTGATCATGTGCATCGCGATAACATCAGGCGTCTCCAGGGTGGTGTGCGGCAAAATAGCTGACCTCAAGTGGGTGAACAGAGTTCGCCTGCAGCAGGCGGCATTCGGCATCATGGGCGTGGTGACATTGTGTATACCGTTCTCTGGCAGCTTTGGTGGCCTCATAGCTATAACACTGATCATAGGGATCTGTGACGGTGTCTTCATCTGCCTGCTAGGACCTATTGCCTTTGATCTTGTTGGCGAGAGGGGAGCCTCACAGGCTTTGGGATTTTTATTTGGTATCTTCTCCATACCAATGTCTGCAGGCCCTCCATTAGCAGGTACAATTGAAATCAATGGAAAAATTTAACATTTTTAATAATTTGTTTTTTGATGAAAGTTGTTAAATGTTGTTAAATCCATTTTATCTTTGTAAAAAGAAAAGGTAAATTAAACATTTAATCCCCAGACGTGTAGAATATTAGAGAAGAACTAATATCTTTTCATATGTGATTATTTTCTCATAAATTATTGCATTTTAGCTCTTGTTTGTAATTGAATCTTTAACCAAAGCTGATATATTCCAGTAATCCATTAGATGGTGTGTAATTTAATCATTAATCAAAGCTGATATTCCAATAATATTGTTAGTAATGTGTAATTAAAAATTCTCTAATTGCCCACTGATTTCTCCATAGGTCTTCTGTATGACAATTTGGGCACTTATAACATAGCGTTCCACCTCGCTGGTTGTCCACCAATACTGGGAGCTCTGATCATGTTCCTGATACCCAAGACAAAACCAGTGAGTCAATCTATTTTATCTCTGAGATACAATTTCTTCCAAGTATAAGTTTTCAGACCGAGAATAACAAATTTAACACCGTATCGGTACTGTTCACAGTTCAGAGCAGTGTACAAACTTTTTATTGGTGTAACCCCACTGAAGACTAGTTTTATAAGGAAGATTTCCCTCCAACCTACTCACATCACCTTGGAAGTAATTATATTAACCCTTGCATTCCTTAAGAGTCCAAGATTAGAATTTCGCACCATGTCTGTAAGGTCATACAAAAATATTGTACCATTATTGTATGTAAGTTTAGGATATAAATACATTTAAAAAAAAAAAACTTATTTAATGGCTAAATAAAAATTTCAATGGGGGCACACTATTAAATGATTCTTTCTGATAGAGCATATTAAACAAGTTTGTGGCGATTTTTTGAAAATTTCTACCTGTCCAACAAATGCTATGGAATTAATGGTGTATAATTTTTCTTTTGGTATGATTGCATTAGGTATGTTTTCTTTGTAAATAAATTTTAAAATTGCAAGGAGTGCTACATCCAGTCACTCACAGCATAGTTAGACGTTCATTCACCGATTAGTCAAATCGTACAGATTTGAAAAGTTGAAGCCTTTAAATTATTGTATTACAATCCGGTCACAATAATCATTGTATAATAATAATAATAATAATAAGACGTCTTATATAGCGCGGTACCCCAGCCTAGGGCTGGGCTCACCGCGCTGTACATAAAAATTTTATCAAAAGAGACATTAACCAAGTTGTTTCCCATTCCAGAATGTCCCTGCTGTTACTTCTATTCAAGAGTTTGCTGCCGTGTCTTGCCATGACATCTACCACAGTAAACTTGTGTTTGGTATGTACACCTTTCAAATACCTGGTGTTTGGCTTGTACAATTTGAAATATCTGATGTGGGGGTGGGGGGCAAGGCATGAAAGGGTGTAAGAGACAGCTTAACAGGGAGAGGAATTAATGAGCCAACTATGAAGTTAAACTTCATGTGGAAAAATTCGACTCTTAGAGACTATAAAAGAAGTGTGTTGATACACAACAAAAAAATCAACAAAATATACCACTCTTACTAAGCAAAGGGCAATTTAAAAATCAGTATATGTGACTGTTACACCAAAGATGTCTGCTGTGGATTCTGCTCATTCGATGGCAGGACAAAGTGCCTAACAAAGATTCTGGAAGTGCCAAAATGTGCAGCATTTTCTTCTCCCTGAGCAAGAGGTGCCTTCACTGGTTAGGCCATTAAAGGAGAATAGAGGAAGGCCATATTTCTCCTGTACTGAGAATCGACAGTGGGGGCAAGACACATTGGACGGCTGCGGCTGCCCTTTAAGGTTGTATGGGGATGCCAACATCAAAATTGGCTAATGGGAAATCCTCATTGATCACCATTTCGGCTAGCCAACAACAGTGATAAAAATCATTAATGAAGGCAAAAGTAAACCAGAAGGGAAGGTTCTCCTGTGAGAAGTGCAGCATCATAAGCCATTCAAGAAAGTGTTGATAAAGCCATTCAAGAAAGTGTTGATAAGCCATTCAAGAAAGTGTTGATAAGCCATTCAAGAAAGTGTTGATAAGGCATTCAAGAAAGTGTTGATAAGCCATTCAAGAAAGTGTTGTTAAGCCATTCAAGAAAGTGTTGTTAAGCCATTCAAGAAAGTGTTGATAAGCCATTCAAGAAAGTGTTGATAAGCCATTCAAGAAAGTGTTGATAAGTTACTCTTTCGTCTCATGAAGACTGGATGCCATTAATGCTAGAATTATATGACACATCCTATAAAGCTTTTCACATATAAATTTAGTGAACAACTCATTCTAGTGTGTGTTATGGATATAAAATGTAAAGAGCTGAGTTCATTTGAGTCAGTGTCAAATGTTAGGATTTTAGGAGACTAACTTTGTGTCAGTTAACATTAACACTAATGTAACTGTTGGGATTTTAGAAGACTAACTTTGTGTCAGTTAACATTAACACTAATGTAACTGTTGGGATTTTAGGAGACTAACTTTGTGTCAGTTAACATTAACACTAATGTAACTGTTGGGATTTTAGGAGACTAACTTGGTGTCAGTTAACATTAACACTAATGTAACTGAGATGGGGTATTAGGCCAAATCCATAAGCTGATTAACTTATATATTATAACTTCTGTGGGTTCATCTCAATATAAATATTTGTGGACTCCATCTGTCCATCACAGAACACGTGCGTTCCTCACCTCTCTCAATGAAAATATGAATTCCAGTTTCTAGGCACCACTTTTTAATGTCACAGTAATAATACAATAATAAAACAAACATGATGTACACTGTTAGCTCCTTGAAATACAAGTATGGCTACAAATATGCTCTTCTTAACTCACAAATTATCAACTTCTAATCACCATTTGTGATCCATGCTTCTATCCTTTATCTCCCTTCTGCTCTCTTTTTAGTCTCGTTCCCTTGAGATTCTCAAAAATATCTATATCAATTACTGAGACGTTACAACTAACACTAACATTAACACTAACACTACTGGGGTAACACTAACATTAACACTAACACTACTGGCGTAACACTAACATTAACACTAACACTACTGGGGTAACACTAACATTAACATGTACCGAAATGAAATTGCTTTCTCTCTTTTTATTTTCTTGACAATAACATTCAACATAATTGATCTTAAATTTTCCCTTGAGATTCTCAAAAATATCTATATCAATTACTGAGACGTTACAACTAACACTAACATTAACACTAACACTACTGGCGTAACACTAACATTAACACTAACACTACTGGCGTAACACTAACATTAACATGTACCGAAATGAAATTGCTTTCTCTCTTTTTATTTTCTTGACAATAACATTCAACATAATTGATCTTAAATTTTTTTGTCCTAGAAACCACAATAGAACCACCAAAGGTGAGCGCAGTCACCCCTGAAGTGATCACAATCAGTGATATGTCCGAACTTGTGGACAGGAATGCAAGCAATGGGAATGTGTCCTCCAACAAGATAGTCCTGGATCTTGAAGCCTTAGATGAGGAAATCAATGATAGGGATGTTGATGTACACGTGGAAGTCAACAAGGAGAGTGCAGACAACATCAGTGACAATGGCAGTGAAGAAAGAGAACTGATGCTTCCTACTGACACTGTAACTACAGCATCTGTTTGATGGGGACTGGGCATATCATTTTAATTGACTAATTCTATTATATTATATAGAATGTTACTCACTCATGTCTGTTGAGAAATAGTTTCTCTTGCATTGTAATTATTAAATTATGTCAAAATTTACATTTTACATTAATGGTACCGGTATGTCAGAATAGTTTGTGTTTTTTGTGTGTGCTGAATTCTATTTTTAGCTTCACTCTATGGACTTGCTAAGTGGCTGTTACTAAATCTGTTTATAATTTTTTTTTAGAAGTACAACAGTAGCCTACAAGGTAGGCCTATATTTATAATTAAATATATATGATTTTTTTTATTATGAAAAATGTCCTGATATCTCTGCCTGCAAAAGATGACAAATTAATGCCATCTTAATGACATTTATTGCAATATTTAAGATAAGTTTTTGATGGAAATTAACATAAAATAATGTTGATTATAAAACATGCCTTTTTAACTTGCTGAGTATTAGTATTACTGTTATAGAAAATGAATTTTTTGTTCAGGTAATAAAAACCATTAACTCTATAGTGAGTTATAATTTTTTTATGTACAAATCCAAGCCTTACTATTACTATGTTTTGGTTGCTTTAGCTCTGAAGTTATTTTATCTGATTTACCAAGCATTTGTTGATAGAGTAGCATCCCTTTCCTTCATTTTGATGATGATTGATTAAGACTAAGATTTGCCACATTCAAAAGATTTGATTTTGTTTTAGTTTTTCAAGTTTTTCATTTTTATTGATAAAGTTTTGCTTTGATTAGCTAGTAGAAAACAATTTCAAAAACGCCTCAACAGAAAAAAGTTTGAAAAATTGTTTCTGCCAATATACCGGTATATATTTTTTTGGCATCATTTGTTTAGTTCTTTCTAGAAAAGTTGATTTATTTTAATTTAAAACATCATAGTCCAATGTACACTTGGCTAATACATTAATACAGAAGGATTTGATAAATGTGCTTTGTTAGTTATCAGTTACATCAGAGTCTTGGGCCTGCCATCACTGCAGCTGCAGTTGGGGCCCTGGGAGATGCTCAGAGAGTTAAAAGACAAATTTTTGATGCGGAAAAAAATTGAAACTGTCAACTTTGAATACAAGGGGCTCAAAACCCCAAAATGGCATGGGGCCTTCAAAAGTCACACAATGGCTCTGACTAAATATAATGAAACTATAGAACTATTTGATATGTCTTAATTACATATGACACTACCGGTATAAAACTATTGATATGTAATAATTACATATGAAAGTATAGAAACATTTGCTATGGATCAATTACATAAGACATTAGAACTATTTGATATGTATTAATTACATATGCCATTAACTATTTGATATGTATCGATCACATATGATTATGAAACTTAAGAACTATTTGGTATGTATCAGTTCCATATGAAAGTGTAGCACCATTTGACAGTGTAGCACCATTTGACGGTGTAGCACCATTGGACAGTGTAGCACTATTTGACCACAGACAGCTGAAATCATCAAAAGACAGCATTAATATCAATCTGATTTATTTGATTGACATTTTAAAAAATGGCATAATTAATAAATCAAGTGCAAATGTTTTTTTTTTTATTGATTCCTTTTTCTTCATTTTTAAAAAAAAGTCTTTGGTTTAATCAATTTGTATTAAACCAAAGCTCACATATCAGCTATCATTGTTTCTTAACACCACTAGTACATCAAAATCACACATCACCTGCCATTGTTTAATAAATACTAGTATATCAACATCACGCATCAGCTGTTATTGTTTACTAAATAATAGTACATCAACATCACACACTATTGTCATTGTTTACTAAATACTAGTATATCAACATCACACATCAGCTGTCATTGTTTACTAAATCCTAGTACATCAACATCACACATCAGCTGTCATTGTTTACTAAATACTAGTACATCAACATCACACATCAGCTGTCATTGTTTACTAAATACTAGTATATCAACATCACGCATCAGCTGTCATTGTTTACTAAATGCTAGTATATCAACATCACACATCAGCTGTCATTGTTTACTAAATACTAGTATATCAACATCACGCATCAGCTGTCATTGTTTACTAAATGCTAGTATATCAACATCACGCATCAGTTGTCATTGTTTACTAAATACTAGAACATCAACATCACACATCAGCTTTCAATTTTTACTAAACCCAATTACATCAACATCGCACACCAGCTGTCATTGTTAACTAAACACTAGGTCATCAACAATTCAACATCCCAACGCTAGTATCTCGTACAGGAAAATTCAAAGTGTCTCGATAATAGAAAACAAAAAGTTCATTTTTTATTTGTACATTTTAACTAGATTCTGTCCCATATTCTCAGCTGCAATATTATTATTTGATCTAGTAGATTAAACCCATGTGTTCATGTTGCCATTAATCCAGCTGCTCTTGAAGGTTAATAATCCTAATCCTAAACAAATTATTTGGGGAACCACTTACCATCAATATAAAGGAATGATCTTTTAATTTTAGTTCATTTCAATAATATTTTCATAGCCACCAGAAATAAATATGCAGACCATGGGGTCTCAGGCAGACCATGGGGTCTCAGGCAGATCATGGGGTCTCAGGCAGACCATGGGGTCTCAGGTAGACCATGGGGTCTCAGGTATAAGTAGACATTTTACCAAAGAAATGTCCCCTTTTTTAAAAAAAACATTGTGATTTTGACTGCATAATATTCTACTTTAAATTGTTGCCTTTTAGAAGGTACTCAGTCTTTCAACTTTTTAGAGACATTTTAATTTTTGTTTATATTAATATATAAATGTTTCCAACAGAATTAATTATTATACTGAAGTACAGATAGTTCATGGAGCATTAATAAATAAAGCTGTTAAAGGACTTGCTTATTACTTATTATTAATAGTTTTTTGGTTGTTGATCATTTATTATGGTAATAAAAGAAAGAAGTTTTTTTGCATTCATACATTTTAATATTTTTCTTTAAAAAAACACACAAAAACCCAGAAATATGAACCAATGCGTTAGTCTTGATGATAATTTTAAATGGTTTTAGTTTTTGAAAGCAGTAAATGCTCTTTATTTTAAGTAGGGTACTTTGTCTTTACTTTATTGATGAAATTAAACCTGTAGTACCCTTTAGAATAAATTATTTATTCCTGTGCCTTAATCTATGATGTCACAAATTATATCATCAAACTGTATGTGGTGTGTTGGGGATATCCATAAATAAAAGACTTTATGAATAGTTTTATAGAGCTCAAGTCAAGTAACATCTTAAGAGGACAAAACTACTTTGCCAATAGTTTATAGAGATGTCATATTTAAGGCAGATGGAAGTCCCAACCATGAACATGACAAGCACAATGATGATGATAATGATGATGATGGAATGGTCAAACAAGGAAGTACAAATATTGTATACTGTCACATCAATTTTAAGCACAAATTTTTTAATTTAAAAAAAAATAATTTTTTGTGACAATTTGAAATTGTTTTTAGGGTTGAATACTTTAAATAAAAAAAATTCTTGGTTTATATTTACAGGACAATTATCAGGACAGTACTTGGGATTTATAACAAAAACTATTATATTATTATTATTATTACAACTTATGTGACATCCTGTGATGTTTGAGTAATTCCATGAGTTTTATTGGTAATGACGTCAGAGTTTTAATGTTCACATCAACAGTTATAAAATATACGCCATAGTCCACCAATATTATTTCAGCTAAATTTTTGCTTTTATTATACTTTTAAAAAAAATTGAACCACATGCTGGTTTGAAGCCTTATGTGCCTCCAATAATTTTGTTGTTGATGTAACATATATGTTTGAAACTGCCAGAGTAACAAAAAGCAACATTTTCTATTTTTTATGACAATGTTTTATCATTATTTTAAGTTTGCTTCTCAAAACCATGCTGCTTCAATGATGATTCTTATGGTGGGTGACATTTGTAATTTATTTTAGCTTAATATACATTTTAAAACAAATTTTTCTAGTTGGTAAATATGTATGTGTTTTTTTTTAAAGAGATCAATTAGATTTCTGTTAAACATTAGTTCTCCGCTCAATGCTGAACCTATAACCTATATTATAATTTTTTGCACTTTATTAAATAGTGATCTAGATAAAAAATTTTTTAGTTTTGATCATCTGGCTAAAAATGTATATACTCTGCACCATTTCATTGGCTTATAAGTGAACAGAATATCACTACCAGTCTTAACAAACACAATTACAAAATAGTTTCATTCAATTATTGTATTTCCATTATTAATTGTTTTTTTGGTATGCATAATTTTGAGATGTCTATTTGTCACTCAAAGTCATTCATCTCCATTTTTCTAATGACTGCACCAACTCGGCCCACATTAAAAAATAAGGAAGATGCCAATTATAATGCTATCAACAACAACAAACAACATCTTGTTTTCCAATATACCGGTACCGGTATCATATTTTGTGGAAGAAACTTTAAAAAAAAAAAAAAAAGGGGTAAAACCATTCTATGTACCTGTACTGTGAAATGAAGAATTCTTGTAAACATTTGTATTGGCTTATTTCTCTTGCAATTGTTACGGCTTCCTATTTGGTATGTAAAAAAAATTTATAGGTGTGAGTTAAAATATTCCCACAACAGCTTAAATCAGAGGTTTTTCAATCTTTTTCCGACGGTACGCTAAGGGTGACACAAATTCATCCCTAGCAACATTTGAGCCCCTTTAAGTATAATTCTGAATCATTTTTCAATGATCTGCTAAGATATATAGTACTAACTTAAGAATCCAGAAAATGTAAAGGGTAACATATTTTTGAACTTTGAATCAAAATGTAGTAAATTAGTGCTCCGGTGCCAACTTGAGATAAAAGCTAAGCAATGATAGTTCCGTCAACTGTTTCTATCTGAGCTGTCTGCAGGATCTTTTTTCTATTCCTAAGTGCCAGAGATCCTTGACTTCACTCTTCCTGGGCTTTCCGACCAAGTGCTGTCCTGGGAAGTGAAGTTGCTGCCATTGTACTTGTACAATTCATGGCCAATTCATCACCAGCAGTGTTCCCTCACGGTCTCTGTTATAGCTGTCACTCTTGATCAGCATCTCAGCACTGAGTTGGAGGCTGACTGTTACCAGAAGACTCCATAGATCCTAATTTTAGGAATATGGTTGGGAAGAACCCCCTGCTCTTATGTGCTGGCAGTTTTCAACACTCTGACCCAGAGGCGTAACTAAGGGGGGGACAGATGTCCCTGGGCACCGGACTAGTTAGGGTCGCCAAAATGTGATTTGATATTATTTTATTGATGAAAATAATGGGTTTGAGAGTTGAAAAGAGAAAGGGAGGCGCTTTTAAATGAACCTTGACCCTGAGCACCACACACTGTAGCTACACCTCTGCTCTGATCCATAGAATGGGATAATCGTGACTATAACATGAAGCTTTTACCTTGATTAATATTATCTGATGGTCCAAGCCCTATGGCAGACTTTTAAAGCAAGTTAATTTTTAAGCAAGTGCTTCAGTAAGTCAGTAACTTACTTAAGAAAATCAGCAAACTATGGAGCCAGAGCTCATAAAGTCTTCCCCAGCGGCCTACCCTGCCAGCCACCCTTCCACTTGATAGACTATGCAAGTGAGGCGGCATCAGAGAAGAAACACCTGGCCGGGCGGGGTGCTGCTCGCTCAGCAACCGGGCCAGACTTTCTAGGGGCTGGGGTGGATATATTTTACGTCTCTAAGTCTCCCCTTCCCACCCCAGGGGGGACGCATAGGTGTTTAACAGACGCCCTCTAATAGGGATTATGTAGTGTGACTAAGTAACACCACAGCTAGGAGAGAAAGAGTAAGTCACTAAATTATTCAAACTGAAATCATCTTTAGTCTGCCAGTTTGACCACTTGGTCTGTAATATCAACTTTTAGTTAGTATTATGACCTATTGGTTGACAATATGACCTATTGGTTGACAATATGACCTATTGGTTGACAATATGACCTATTGGTTGACAATATGACCTATTGGTTGACAATATGACCTTTTTTTAAAATCTTCTTCCTGCTTTGAGAATCTTGGAACAATTAATTTTAAATCATTTCTATCAAATTTCGTCTTTTCTTTAAAAAAACAAAAGTTCCCATTATAGAATATTCAGATTATCAAAATGAACTGCTTAAAACCAATTGTTTGAGGTTTTGTGTTAGAAATGCGTCAATGTAGAGAGAAATAAAATCATGTTCACATTTGTTCCTGGGTTTTATTCAAATCTCAAAATAGCAACTTGCTGCCCACTAATACGTTTGCAGGTAGTAATAAAAAATTGTCTTAACTTACCATTAGAGTTACAGTTTTACAGGTTATGCTGTTACATCCGCATTCACCAGCCAGTGGTACCCAGTACAGAAAATATGCAAAGTCTTTTGCTTGACTTTAACAAATGTAAAAATTGCATTGTCTTTCAGTCAATGAGATGATCCATTTTTATGAAATTTAAGTTCAGACCTTTTGTTACCAGGTGCTTAACATTATATCAACAAACGAAAAGCTCACTTTAAAACAAAAATAATCTTTTTTGACCATGTATTTTGACCACTGGTAGCATAAAGGCAGTTCAGCTTTATTTCTTGTCATTTGGTTCAAAGTGCACAAATAAATTGAGTTTTCATTTGAAAGGAAGTGATGTTATGTTTATTTTCAATATCCACAGGATGTGAGCGAAAGTGAATTTGAGAAATTCTGGGTATTCGCTCCCACCCAATCTGTGATTGTGACCCCACTCAGTTTTTTATGTGATCCCACTCAATCTGTGATTGTGACATCACTCAATCTTTGTATGTGATCCCACTCAATCTGTGATTGTGACATCACTCAATCTTTGTATGTGATCCCACTCAATCTGTGATTGTGATCATACAATCTATGTATTTGCTCCCACACACGCCTGGGAGTAACAAATAAAGCATACAAAGTAATACAAACTTTTCATAACCTGGGAGTTCAGATAGCGACCGCGATCTGAACTCATTTGCTATTCAGGGACATCAACGAACAAAAAGGAAATGAGTAACAAGTTCTTTCTTCTTCAGATTTAATCAAAATACAGTAAATTATTCTCTTTTAAAAATCATTTTCAAAGAAAAGCAAAGAAACTCATCAACAGCATTTATGCTGGCATAGAAGAAAACAAACAAACATTTGAAGAATAGCTGATGCTATATGACACAACTGAACTCAAGGCTCAGCTCATGCAGATCTCACTGTAACTTGACGTCTACTGACAGAGACTTTCTACACAGGGCTGTTTATTGTACTGTAACACACTATCTAGGGTTACGTTATCATCCAATATACATTCGCAAGTTAATTTAAATTTGGACATATTCATACATTTTAGAAAAAAATATTTCCGATGCTTTTAGTGAAAATCTTAAAATAAATATTCATATAAAGATATATGAGAGAAATGTTCATATAAAGATATATGAGAGAAATCAGTTTTTAAAAGCTCCAGGTGAATTGAACCTGCCAACTTGGACCAATTTTAATGTGTCTTAAAATGTGTTTTTAATTGACATAAATCTGGCCAACACGTGGCTCTAGTCCTGATTGTACCCTTGGACTTGTAACCATTGTAGAAATGTCTTATTGTGGTATAGACATACAAATCTAATCAGAGAAAAAAATTTGATTTGTTAAAAATAAAATAACTTTGAATGACAAATTGAGCCAGGAACTAGCAAACAATCCTGGTGGACATCTTATGTGTACCAGTGTTCCCAGGTTTGGCATAGCCAGTTAGTAGAGACCTACTCATAGAACAAAGAGAAGGAATAGATTTCTTGTTGCATAAGAGGAAGGAAAGGACTGTGGTAGATAACATAGGATCTGGTTGAAGAAAACATTGAGGACAATTCAACCCATCACAAAGAGACTCCAGCAAAGATTAATTTATTTGTGTAACATGGAAAGAAATCCATTCAACAGCAGCTTATTGATCAACAGCAAAATTAACATAAGACAAAACATGAACCATTGCCCCACTGTGGTTAAACTGGAGTTCAAGCACATGTTGCTAGCCAGCCTACTGTGTATTATGTGAGCATATTTTCATGTCAGCATCTGTTGTGTTTTGCTAGCCAGCCTACTGTGTATTATGTGAGCATATTTTCATGTCAGCATCTGTTGTGTTTTGCTAGCCAGCCTACTGTGTATTATGTGAGCATATTTTCATGTCAGCATCTGTTGAGTGTTGCTAGCCAGCCTACTGTGTTATATGTGAAAATATTTTCATGTCAGCATCTGTTGAGTGTTGCTAGCCAGCCTACTGTGTTATATGTGAAAATATTTTCATGTCAGCATCTGTTGTGTTATTTATTACAAAAACAGTAGAGTTGCATGATCCAAGGAATGTACAGGTTTTAAATCTCTTCACTTACAGCCAGCCAGCCAGCCCAATAGCACAGAATAACGCAAGCCTAACTGAAATAGGTCAAAAGCCTAACTGAAATAGGTCAAAAGGCTAACTGAAATAGGTCAAAAGGCTAACTGAAATAGGTCAAAAGGCTAACTGAAATAGGTCAAAAGGCTAACTGAAATAGGTCAAAAGGCTAATTGAAATAGGTTCAAAGCCTAACTGAAATAGTTTTGGACCAAATGAAATCTAAAACTTTAAAAATACAATTTCCATCAATGTTGACATATAATATACATACCAATTGTATGCTTTCTTTATTAGGTATGCTATTAAATGACAGCTTTCTTTATAAGGTATGCTATTAAATGACATATTTCTTGATAAGGTATGCTATTAAAAGACACGTGCATTAGACAAGTTGAACTAAAGTTAAACTGTAATTGGAGTGTCTGAGAATATCTTAGAACATTCAATCACTGAATACAAATCAAAAACGACAAAAACTTAATGAAAATAAATCAAGCAATCCAATGAAAACAGCTCTGTGTTAAGCAAAGTGCATAAAAACTTTTTAAAAAAAACCAGTGGATAACCTTCAAAAACTGTGGATAAAACTTCAAACATTGTGGATAAAACTTCAATGTGGATAAAACTTCAAAAAATGTGGATAAAACTTCAAACACAGTGGATAACCTTCAAACACTGGATAAATCTTTATGCCCAATACACTTGTTTATAAACCTTTAAATGCCATGGACAAGCCTTTGTTGTTCTGTGGATAAGCCTTTAAACTCAGTGGATACTTCACTATTCAGAAGAATAGAGAGTAAACCAATCCAAATGACTACTACTGCATCTCAGAATCAGTCTCCCTTGATCTCACTCCACAATTTTACTTGGGATTCTAAGACTTTAAGGTGGATACCCCTGCTCTATCCATATACCTTTACATTCTGAGTAGACCATCTTAATAAATTATTAACTATTGTATATACCACATATTATGCTATCCCTAAAGTTTGTAGGAAAAACCCCTAAAGTGCCATTTCCATGTCTAATGTGATATGTTTATCTTCTTCCATCACATAAACAATACAAATTTACAAAAAAAAATCATTATTTTAAAGTCAAAATGTTAAAATTCTTAAATTTATTATTACATTTAAATTGAACCGTGGTTATGCAGAGAGAACTATGCTAAACTCCCATCAAGGGTGGGCTACTTAATGCACAGATACCATATCAGCTCAGTTGCTGAATGCCAGTGGGTCAAGCAAAGGGTTAAGTAGATTTGGTTGCATAGGCTTTAGCACAGACATGTCAAACATGGGGCTCCCTAGTACAGACATGTCAAACATGGTGCCCGCTAGTACAACCGCATGCAACCCTTTGCAAGCACACCTGTTACCCTCACAATGGATATTGTAATTTCGTCATTTAACTGCCAAAATTTGAGTTTTTATCATTTCAACTGGATAAACGTGGGTCCTTCACGGACAATACACTTGGAAATAGTCGATCACCTTTCAATCCATTTCAAGAGCAAAAAAAAAAAAATTTTGTTAGAGGGTATTTATTTTGATACAAAATGTAACAACATGCGGCCCGCGAACAGTTTACTCCCAATCTTAAGTGGCCCACAAAGCCTTTTTGGTTTGCCTACCCTGCTTCAGTAGAATTTTTTAATGAAAAATTGCCTAAACGGGCATATAATGCAAAGGCTTAACTTTAAGTAAAGTTTTTAATGATAAAATTTTCGCATTATATGAGTTAATATACAGTATGCGTGTATACATATAGAATCTCTTATATACATATATGCCACTCGATAAATAAAATACAAGATTAGAGATTAAAAAATAAAAATGGCAAAAAGTAATTGAAAAGAAAATCACCACACAACTTGAACAAATTTGTGAAGCCCTCAAAGCAACAGATATAACTTTAAAATCCATCCAATCAAATCTCAGCATCGTAGAGTCCCATCAACGGCCTTGGACACATTCTGTCACAAGACCTATTTCCGAGTTGCAAACACACCAGAAAAAAAACAACAACTTTCAACATTAATGCAACATTCAAGTACTATGCTTAATATGTTACATATTCTTTACTGAGATCTGAACTGTCAACTGAAAGCAAGAAATATTGGAGAGAATTATCTGAACTGTCAAACTAATAGCTATAAAGATTGGATAGAATGTGAAGCTACACTGAAGCTGAAAGAAAAAAGTAGCACAAAAACTAAGGAATTAAAAAAAAAAAATCATGTCACTTGACAGAACTTGTCACATAACGGTTCAGCAACTGACAGAAGTTTGACAGACATCCCAGATAGGAAAACTGGAAACTTTGATTAAAGCTGATAGTTTAGTTACCTCTAGTCCATCAATCTATAATACTTAGGTTTTATATCTATGTGTTCATCTATAGGTTTTATATCTATGTGTTCATCTATAGGTTTTATATCTCTGTGTTCATCTATTTATCCATATTGCACTTGTGCCACAAGATGGTATTTCATGGATGATTTAGCCAAACAGAGGTGTTGTTAATGATGTGTCATCATGCTGATGGGGTCATGTCAACCAATAATACAATCAATAAAAAAAATCTCTATTTCGGAAAAGACAAAATAGTATCACTTTAGTTGTTCACAAGGAGACTCGATACAATAATATTTGATGAAAAAGTGAGATTTAATGTATCAAAAATTTTCAAAGAACATCTATAACTCTGTCATCAGTTCAGAGTTGTAAGACATTAGCACCACATTTTCTCTTTACCCCCACCCCCCAAACCTCTATAAGTATCTCATTAACTTTTCTATTCAATAATTCCTCTATCCTCTGTCTCACTTACTTTTCTATTCAATAATTCCTTTATTAATCTCACTTACTTTTCTATTCAATAATTCCTCTATCCTCTGTCTCACTTACTTTTCTATTCAATAATTCCTCTATCCTCTGTCTCACTTACTTTTCTATTCAATAATTCCTTTATTAATCTCACTTACTTTTCTATTCATTAATTCCTCTATCCTCTGTCTCACTTACTTTTCTATTCAATAATTCCTTTATCTCACTTACTTTTCTATTCATTAATTCCTCTATCTCACTTACTTTTTTATTCAATAATTCCTCTATCTCACTTACTTTCCTATTCAATAATTCCTCTATTCTTTATCTCACTTACTTTTCTATTCAATAATTCCTCTATCCTCAATCTCACTTACTTTTCTATTCAATAATTCCTTTATCTCACTTACTTTTCTATTCAATAATTCCTCTATCCTTTATTTCACTTACTTTTCTATTCAATACTTCCTTTATTAATCTCACTTACTTTTCTATTCAATAATTCCTTTATCTCACTTACTTTTCTATTCAATAATTCCTCTATTCTTTATCTCACTTACTTTTCTATTCAATAATTCCTCTATCCTCAATCTCACTTACTTTTCTATTCAATAATTCCTTTATCTCACTTACTTTTCTATTCAATAATTCCTCTATCCTTTATTTCACTTACTTTTCTATTCAATAATTCCTTTATTAATCTCACTTACTTTTCTATTCATTAATTCCTCTATCCTCTGTCTCACTTACTTTTCTATTCAATAATTCCTTTATCTCACTTACTTTTCTATTCATTAATTCCTCTATCTCACTTACTTTTTTATTCAATAATTCCTCTATCTCACTTACTTTCCTATTCAATAATTCCTCTATTCTTTATCTCACTTACTTTTCTATTCAATAATTCCTCTATCCTCAATCTCACTTACTTTTCTATTCAATAATTCCTCTATCCTTTATTTCACTTACTTTTCTATTCAATAACTCCTTTATCTCACTTACTTTTCTATTCAATAATTCCTCTATCCTTTATCTCACTTGCTTTTCTATTCAATAATTCCTCTATCCTGAATCTCACTTACTTTTCCATTCAATAATTCATCTATCCTTTATCTCACTTACTTTTCCATTCAATAATTCCTTTATCTCACTTACTTTTCTATTCAATAATTTCTCTATCCTTTATCTCACTGACTTCTATTCAATAATTCCTCAGTTAATATGTCACTGACTCGCTATCCCTGTTAGAATCTAATGGACTTTTCTATAAAATATTCCTCTATTAGAATCTCATTGACTATTCTATTAAATAATTCATTTATTAGTACCGTATCTCATTGACTATTTACGGGTACATAATTCCTCCATGCTTGGTGGCCGAGTGGTCTAAACTGAGCAAATCTCAAGTTTGTGGTCTGGAGTTCAATTCCAGAGCCCAGTCAAGCAAAAACACCACCAGCACCCCGGGTAGATGGGACTTGTTAACCTTGGACGGAAACTCATCTAAGAGAAGGAAACTCTGAAATCAAACCCGGAGATGGAGTCCCGAAAGGAGGATAACATTGATACAATGAAAAATTCCGACAACTCCTACGACGTCACTGGTGCCAAGCTGTATCATCCAATGATGTTCCCTTGGGTTACCCAGCAGCGTGGAGAGAGGCGATTTGCTGTTGGGAACCAGCTTATAATCCTTGAAGTATAATCCCAGGCCATGTGGATTTTGTCCTCCGAAGCCCACTCCATCGTCACATTGTGACGGACGGATGCCAGCAAAAATTCCTCCATTAGTATCTATTGACTTGTCCATTAAATATTTTCTGTATTGCTACGATCAAGAGTTTTGCAGCTTCTCTGAATAAAATTAATGAGATTTAAACAAAAATAAATTATTAAGTAATTAAGATATGTCAAGTCAACTAAAAGAAAATAGAAACTCTGGTGATATTTCCTTGTGATACTTGCAATCAAATGTTAAACCTTCAGTCTGATCTATTGCAAGAACCAGGGAACAGACCAAAAGGACAATGATTTCGTTGCTGGCCTTAGCACCATTGTAGACATGTTAACGAAGTCTTGATTACAAATTAGAGGAAAATGGGTTAAAAAAAAAAAAGTAATAAACTCACGCAGAGTTTATGAATGAGAATTGATTGCGTCATGTGCAGTGCCAATGATGAAAGAACACAGAGATCAGTGAGATTACAAGCAGGTCTTGAGACAGGACACATACTTAAAAGTGGAGTTAAAACTGTAAAGTTCTCAACTAAAAATGTTTTTACATTTTATGCCTGATCAACTTTGGAATTTTGTAAAATCTCTTTTTAAAAAATATTATAAATTGGGTAAAAATGAAAAAGGGTTTATTAGTTTGAAAGAACCTGTGATAAGCTTTAAAACTGAGAGCCAGAACTTTGATACTGTCATCATTCAGCACCCATAGTTTTTGCTTTGTTTTTTAAAACCCCAAACAGGACAGAGCAGCAATCTGAGTCATAGCAATTTGAAACGACTGATAGAACGGCTCAGGGTTAACAACTGTGGGTAGATCGGCCCAGGGGGAACAACTGTGATGACACCCACGTTGTCAACCAAAAGAAAAGTTGGTGAGTCCAGGAATGAAAATGTTACCAACCCACCCAAGATCAAATGTTCTACTGTGCTTGTAGTGCACATCAAAGTGCAGCAGTGGTTGACACAGTGCCATAGTACTAGGCGTGGGCTAGCGTCACACCATGTCATCAATGATGACAGTGCATAGCTTAAGTCAGCTCTTCTTCATACCGGCCACCCAGGCTAGTCAAAAGAATCACTCAGGTTTAATGCAGTCAGACATAACACACATCACAAAACATGTAGTAGCCAATACTTTCTAAATTCTAAAGGTTAACTAAAATGATGTTCAACATATTTTAAAAGCTTTTCAATGCAGCATCCTTGGTCATCAATACCGGGTTACTAAAAGAAAATCTTTTTTCCACAATCTTCAAATTAATTGCATAATCTAATACTGTTACTGTTACAAGGTAACAAAATCTATTTCTATTTTACTTTAATCTATCTAGTTGACAAGCATACGCACATCACTACAGCAACAGTTCAAGGCACCAAATAGGATTCAATGGATCATAACTAAAGTCAATAAATAAATGCAAGCCATTCAGTTGAAAATAAAATATTTGCATCTGCCAAAGAAAAGACTAAAATATTGCAAAGCAATTTTATCAAAGCGTTTTAAAAATGATTAAACAGACGACAACCCAAAACAGTTGAAATAAAGAGTAAGCAAGAGGTGGTTCCACTAAATCTTTATGCAATTGTGGATTGGGAAGAGTGTAACAGTTATTGCATTTCATCCTCAACAGAAAGATGACCCCCAATAAATGATGCTATACCCGTTACTCCTAAAATCATCTGATGAATATACACAGATTCTAAACAGACGTGTTGCCAAACTTAAGCTTGATCAAAAGAAAATGTCTCAAGAAAAACAAAAGGGACCCCTTTGGTCCAAATTTGATAATTATATGATACAATTAAAAATCTATTAATATGTGCGCTTTTGTCGATGATCAACTGTAGAGTCAAGATGATCTCATTTGTTGCAGCGAGCTTTGAGTTTGTCAATGATATTGCACAGTTTGACAACTGGTCCAAGCTTGAGTCCCATGTACTTCAACATCATTTCACTCTTTAACAGCAGGAACGCTTTTCCATCAATTTCCTGAAACATACACGTGCCTTGCATTAGTCTAATTTAAAGGAGAGACAAAGCTTGCTTGACATAATTGGATATTTATAGATCTTGGTTGTTTGACATAATTAGATATGCATAGAACTTGGTTGTTTGACATAATTAGATATTTATAGAACATGGTTGCTTGACATAATTAGATATTTATAGCTCTTGGTTGTTTGACATAATTAGATATTTATAGAACTTGGTTGTTTGACATAATTAGATATTTATAAATTAGAAGTTGATGTCAGAGCAACAAAAAAATTTTATACACCAGGGGTAGGCAATCTTCTTTTTGACGGCGGCTCGTATGAAGTTCTCGTCAGGCTCTGGGGGCCAGATTGATTGCCTTTTATATGTATAATTGAAATATCCCACATATAGAATAATAATAATAATAATAATAAGAGGTCTTATATACCGCGGTACCCCAGCCTAGGGCTGGGCTCACCGCACTGTACATAAAATTTTTTATCAAAAGAGACATAATCATGAAAATAAAATAAAATACCTTTATGAAATAAAGAACAGCAATGCATATTCACCCACCCCACCACATAACTTTTACAAGGCAAACCATGGACGGCAACCAGCAAGATCGTTTATCCGTCAGAGGAGGGGAATCAGTCAGGGTAGCATAATTTAAAAAGATATGTGTTGAGTGCAGTTTTGAAGGCCTAGGTGGTTGGTATATTGCGTATGTGTAGTGGCGAAGAATTCCATTGTTTGGGGGCGCAGAAAGAGAAAGATCGTTCACCAAATGTTTTAGTGTGTGTCTTGGGAACGGACAGAATATGCGTGTCTGCAGAGGAGCAAAGCTGTCGAAGGGGTGAATAGACAGAAAGAAGTTCTGTTAGATAGGAAGGGCAGGAATCCAAGAAAAAGTTGTGACAGAGAACAGACAACTTGTAGTCGATGCGTGCCTGTATAGGTAGCCAATGAAGGGAATGGAGTAGTGGAGTGACGTGATCACGTTTTTTTGCCTTTAAAACTAGCTTAGCAGCTGAATTTTGAACTTTCTGCAGTTTTTCTATGCAGTGTTTTGGTGAACCTGACAGAAGAGAGTTGCAATAGTCAAGACGAGAGAGAACAAGAGCACAGACTAAGAGTTTTTGTAGCGCTAACTGTGAGGAGCTGATCTGACGGATAGTGGTGTATGCTGAATGACAAATGTGAGATATGTGTTTATCGAGAGACATGTTGTTAGAAAGAATATAACCAAGATTCCTAGCAGAGTGTGTAAACCATACGTCCAACAAAGTTTTCCATCTATTTCTGACCAATTGAAAAACATACATGTTTCCTAAAATGTTCGACATAAGAAGTGAGGCCAATGTCAGTCTCTTTAATGTGAGCCATGACTTCCTCAACACTCCACTCAGAAGGATCTGTCAGTCGTGTTGATGCTGCTAGAGCTGGGGGTTGGACGGTAGTTTCACCAGTAGTTGAACTGGCTGAAAACACACAACAATTTGTCATTTTAGAAACAAAAAAAATAAAGATATGCAATAAACAGTGGGGAAAAAACAATCCCTCTCCAGTGAGAACTCATTCTCAGATTTCCTTCCTAGTTCACTCCAATATCTGACCTCAAACATTGATCATGCTTTGGATCCACCCTTTAAACTCTTCATCCAGATCAATTCTTGATCTTGTCTCTTTTAACCCAATTAGAAGCTGCTAGCATGGTTCCAACTCTTTTTTTTTTTTTTATTAAAACAAAATTCCCTTCTTTTTCCCAACTTTTCTCAACTGAAAACAAACAAAATTCCTGACTTTTGCAATGCAGTGTTTTTGCTGATAATATAAAAAAAACCATGAAATTGTCAAAAAATAAGCAACATTGAAATAAAACACAAATGAAAAAATAAATTAATCTTTAAACTCTTCATCCAGATCAATTCTTGATCTTGTCTCTTTTAACCCAATTAGAAGCTGCTAGTATGGTTCCAACTCTTTTTTTTTTTTTTTATTAAAACAAAATTCCCTTCTTTTTCCCAACTTTTCTCAACTGAAAACAAACAAAATTCCTGACTTTTGCAATGCAGTGTTTTTGCTGATAATATAAAAACAACCATGAAATTGTCAAAAAATAAGCAACATTGAAATACAACACAAATGAAACAATAAATTAAGCAATAAGGTGTATACATGTAAATATTTATTAAATCTCCTAGCAATTGCAAGTGTTCAATTTACTTAGACTTGAAAAATTGTTGATGTTGAAGTGCAAGGGAAACTACTGCAATTTGTTTTTCAGGGCATTTTAGAACATATGTATTGCTACCACAAGTTGAAAGCATCTTTTATTATATGGAGTTCATGTTGTCTTCTTGTGATGAACATATGTATGGCCACCACAAGTCGAAAGCATTTTTTATTATATGGAGGTCATGTTTTCTTTTTGTGCTGAAAATGGAGAGTTTGAGTTAACACACTTTAGTGCCTATAAAATCTCTCCACTCAGGGTTTCATGTTTTGACACATAAATCGGGAGCTTGACTGAGAAGTTGCAGAAGTGGACACCTAATATAGGTGATAAAGCTGAAGGTGAACTAGACAGATGAAGTCTCATCAGATTATTGACAATTTTAAACATTTCCCCTAGAATACTTGATATCAATATTTCTCGCATAGTGTAGCAGTGATGACTTGTTTAATCATTATCATGATTGCTGTCTGACCATCAGTCTTTAAAGGAACTGTTGGGCATTATTTTATTGGGCCTAGATCCTGAACAGAGATACAAAATAAAATATGTTTTCATATAAGGTTTATAATTTGTAGTAATGCAAACATCATATAGACTATATTATAATCATGCTAAACTACCGGTACGGTAATACACAATCAGAAGAGATACTAAGATAGGCGTATCACATAGTCTCAGGATCAAGGAAAAAAAACTAAACAACCCTTGCGTACACGCCACTGTGTTGATGCAAATATAATTATAATAATACTGTCAAGTAAAAAGTATACCCAGAGCACAGGAGTGCCTAACTATAAATAAAGACTAACGATATACAATTATGTCAGGCTCACTGAATGGGTGTATCAAATCAACTAGTTGTAATAACTTTTAAATGAAGTTCCGAAGTCAGCCGTAAAGTAAACTTAAACTAGTAAACTACACTACGAAAAATACTATCACAAAATCACTATTTAAATTTAGAAGGCCTAACTCTAATAAAAAAAAACCACTGCAGTGTTTTTGTTGTAGATATGAAGGCCTGCATTTAAAAATCTAATTCCTCCACTTTGGTCATGGGGAAGAACTACCACTATTATTATTATTATTAATATTAAAATTATTAAAAAGCTAAAAGCTTCTATTATTTATTTATTTATTTATTTAGGCATTTTTATATAGCGCTTATCATAAAGCTCTAAGCGCTTTACAGTTATTAAAACATGTAAACTAAGTAAATACAAATGAGACACTAGGATAGTAACTACTATTATTGAATTGCTAATTCGAATTAGCCATAGCGGTGATATTTTTAATTTACGCCTAGATACTGTAAAACCGCTAAAGATCAACTCCTTTAACTTTTTAAGACTAAGACTTACTAAGAAATAACGAAGTACACTAAGCTTATACATTCTAGACCACGCGAGTGGTTTTCTATTTATAATGGCTACCTCACAATTAAAACTAGATTCAAATAGTGATTATTTATATTTTGCACTTTACTTACCCAAACATCTCTTGATTGACAAACTGAACAGAAAATAAATATTACTGGTCTATCAAAGTAGTACGGTGTGAATAAAAGTTTCGATCACAACGCATGCGCAGTTAAGGGGAAACCACTGGCATTTTGGCAAAGTCCATTTTAAAGGCTAAAAATAGACCAGATCTGCGATCAACGCCGATTTTCATGAAATCCAAACTTATTATTATTTTTTTACGATTTAAAAATTCCAGACTAGCCAGAAAATGTCCTTACTAGAAGTCTCATGTTCCAGGTTTTCACGACCAGGAAACTTATTCAATGAATTCCCGACCATTTCCTGTTTTCCCGACTGCGTGGGAACCCTGTTCTAGTTAATTTTAAAAATAATATTTTTAAGGTGCACAATACACAGAAAATGCCTCAAGAATGCAGTCCCTTTACATTGGAATTATTCCTTATTTTCTTACCAGCTTCAAAGTTGGAGTGATGTTTGATCATGTTACTTTTAGACACTTTGCTCCCTCCTCTGGAACTTTCTGAAGATTCTGTAGACCAGCGTCTTCTCACAGACTTAGGAGGATGGTAGCTGTCTTCCTCTGAGTCAGCCAGCCAAGAGCCTACACATAATAGCCAAAAATAGGGTCACATTAAAATATCTTTCATTGCCACGAGCCAACACATAATAGCCAAAAATAGGGTCACATTAAAATGTCTTTCATAGCCACGAGCCAACACATAATAGCCAAAAATAGGGTCAAATTAAAATATCTTTCAGAGCCACGAGCCAAAGCATAATAGCCAAAAATAAGTTCACATTAAAATATCTTTCATAGATTTGTTAAAAAACTTTAAATGGAAAAGGTTATGCTCATTTCATTTCAGAGATGAATTACTTATTCCAAAGCTAGAACCTATATTTCCTTCTTTCCATTTAATCTAAAATAAAATAAATACAACAATGGGCAGCTAATAACAAATGCAAGACTTTAAACTGAAACTGTGAAAGTAGTGAGACCAAAGGGAGGCCAATCAATATTTAAAACCTTTACAAATCAGTGTTCCATCTCATAAAGACTTTTATCACTAGGCCACTGTGAGTAACGGCTGTATCATTAGGCTGGTGTAGGTTTACATCTGTAGCACTAGTCCAATGTGGGTTTACACCTGTAGCACTAGTCCAATGTGGGTTTACACCTGTATCACTAGTCCAATGTGGGTTTACACCTGTATCACTAGTCCAGTGTAGGTTTACTCATGTATCACTAGTCCAATGTGGGTTTACACCTGTATCACTAGTCCAATGTGGGTTTATGCCTGTATTACTAGTCCAATGTGGGATTACACCTGTATTACTAGTCCAATGTGGGTTTATGCCTGTATCACTAGTCCAATGTGGGTTTATGCCTGTATCACTAGTCCAATGTGGGTTTACACCTGTATGACTAGTCCAATGTGGGATTACACCTGTATTACTAGTCCAATGTGGGTTTACACCTGTATGACTAGTCCAATGTGGGATTACACCTGTATCACTAGTCCAGTGTGGGTTTACACCTGTATCACTAGTCCAATGTGGGTTTACACCTGTATCACTAGTCCAGTGTGGGTTTACACCTGTATCACTAGTCCAGTGTGGGTTTACACCTGTATCACTAGTCCAGTGTGGGTTTACACCTGTATCACTAGTCCAGTGTGGGTGTTATAGAGAGCCTGTTTACATAATATTTCTCGTGCGTGCCCTCTGATTGACCCCGCATGAGACGCTGTGTTCACAAAGGGGTGTGGCTTAGGCCTTTGAAGTATTCTTGTTTACACCGCCAACCACTAAAAATAATTAATCTGTTCCAAATAGTATTTTGTAGAATAAATGGGATTTTTCTAGAAATGCTGTGTAGCTGCTCGAAGGCAGGGCTTAGGCGTCGGTAGACCCACCTATATAAGGGATTGACAGGCACGGACGAGGAGGCAGATTTTCAGATAAATTTTCTTAACATTACGAGGCGTGTTTTATTCTTTGTGTATTTGTATGCTCATATGTGTTTATTTCGCATTATTTATTGGCACATTATTCTAACTGTGTTAACTGTGTACCGGTATAAGATCTACCATACTGTAAGTTGAAGATTTGTAATTATATTTTTCTTTACTTTTGTAATTATCTTAAGTCATAATAAATCTTAATTAATTGTAACTAGAAACTGTTTTGGGTCGTATCTTTAATATTGTTGACTCTATGGTATCGACCTTTGTTAGGCACTGTTTACAACGAGCCAAATAAAAATTCAAATAGGAGATTAATTTCTCCCAATACAAGTCAGTGCGTAACAGTGGGTTTACACCTGTATCACTAGTCCAGTGTGGGTTTACACCTGTATCATATAATTTAGTAAGTGTTAAGAAAGTTAAACCCTTAATCTTGCCTTGTCGTTTCCCGGTCGTCCTTGACCTGCTGTTGCTGCATCTGTTACACTGTCGCACAAGTGAATTTGTTGTCAGGAAATTTTCACAACAGCCGAGACTTTCCCTGAATCCTTCCAAGAACTGGATGAACTCCGACGCCTTGTCATACGACACAATTCTTTTTGTCACCGTTTTGCTGTTGTCTGTAGCTAAGAGGAGGACATGTAAGAAGTTCGAATACAATATTATTCTTCATTCAAACTTAAAATTATTGAATTACTTCGACAAAGAACTTTTATTTAATATGTAGAGTGAGAATTATGAGAGATGTTTTTGATGCCATTGTATTGCGTTTAGTGAGTCTTGCAAGACAAAAAGACAGGAAGGATGTTAGTTTTGTTGACAAAAAAATGTTAATTTATCTTCATTAATTCCCGATTGGACGGCATTGTCTGGAGAAAAGCTTTGAATATTTTCTCTCCTGAACTTGAGATTGGGTCATCTCTAAGACAATACCATTCACCTTCAGCTTTTGCCATGCTCTAGTTTAGACTAGTGATCCAATGACCATCATACTTATCAAATATTTAACCTAGGTATATTGATCATTTATATTAGTGACCCAATCACAACCATACTAATCAAAGATTTAACCCAGGCACAGCTATTTATATTAGTGCCCCAATCACTAACTCATTAATCAAAGATTTAACCTAAGCTTAGTGATCATTGAACCCTTTATTCAATTTGTTAATATTTTGTCAGTGAATCCTCTCTCAATCTAAAGACAATCAGCAACCTTCAACATAGGGAAATAATACTTCAACATGAGGTGGATGAACTAATTCAACTTAGAGGAGGGTGAACTAATTCAACTTTGAGGAGGATGAACTAATTCAACTTTGAGGAGGATGAACTAATTCAATGAACTAATTCAAAATGAGGATGAACTAATTAAACTTTGATGAGGATGAACAATTCAACATGAGGAGGATGAACAATTCAACATGAGGAGGATGAACTAATTCAACATGAGGATGAACTAATTCAACATGAGGATTAACTAATTCAACATAAGGAAACTTAAACATGAGGATTGAGCAATACTTAAGAGAAATACACAAATATACTCCCATGATAACCGGCATCTACCTGTAACAGTGATTTTGCCTGTGCCCTGTGCTGCCATCTTGAGGAGATCAAAAACTTGTATCTGCTGCACTGCACATTCAATGCAGGCATCCACCAGGTCTCTCAGTACCCTGCTAATGAACCCTGGACCAAACTGGCTGGGCATGTGTTCGTTTATTCTCCGAGGTGACAGAAGACTGCCACAGTTGCAGTGGGCATTTACATAAACACATACTGGACAAGAATAAAGTATGTCTCAATAGAGTAAACATAATAACAACTGTTGCTCTAGCTAATCTGTTAACAATTTTTAATTACATAAAAAGTAACCAAAGAAGAACTCTAGCAACCTGCTCTTTATTTTAAGAACTCTAGTAATCTACTCCTTATTTTAAGAACTCTAGCAACCTACTTTTAATTTTAAGACTTAAAACAAATGATCATTTTTTTTTCCACAACAGTCAATTTGATTAGTTTTATGTTTAAACATTTTAAAAAATTAAGTCAATCAAAAAATTTCAAATTACCACCTAAATGAATACGTATACAAGCTGTAACTCACGATAGGCCATCATATTAATCAAGGATAATCAGATTTATCCTTGAGAATCCAATTTCAGTTCATTTCAAACCAAGCCTTAAAATAGATAACATTTAACGCCTCTCCATAAAAGATGCTTTTATAGCAAACCTTTATCCGAGTCAGCGCCGCCAGTTGTGTCAGGTTCCGAGCTGGTCACGGTGCTCTCATGTGGAGACATTCGGCTGAGATCACCCGAGCTGGGAGTCAGAGGGCTGGCTTGTGAGTTTGGTGGACTGACTGATGGGCTTCCACTGTATCCACTTCCTACATTGACACTGAGCTCATTGTCTCGAGACATTTTGAGGGTCTTTGCTGTATGACACAAGAGTTTTAAGAAAAAGAATTCACTAAATTAGTTAATTTAATATGATTTGTATCAGACTTAATGCAGTGAAGCCCATGACTTAATGTACTGAAACACACGACTTAATGTAGTGAAACACATGACTTAATGTAGTAAAGCACATGACTTAATGGAGAGAACCACATGACCTTAATTGTGGTCAAGCACATGACTTAATGTAGTGAAGCACCAAAGCACATAACTATACCACATAATTCAGTATTTAACTAAGTTACACAACTCATGTTATGGTGTATCGAAAATAAATCAAAATTGCTTCATAGAATCTTATGCATAGCTTGTAACGTTAATGAAGTGATTTAAATCAGTTTGACCAGATAAACAGAAAGCCTGACAAACCTTTAACACCCGGACTTTGGAGTGGATGACCACTGCTCTCACACCACCCTACAGGGAATATGTCTCTTGAATCATAACGACACCAGTAATCAAAAGCACCTCGCCAACCATCAAAAGTGACATGTATCTGGTCATCATTGACGGCACCAATAGTTGCAGGACAAATGAGGGCGGGATTTTTGCGATCTACTGCCTCCAGCTTCTGCCCAACTTGAAAATTGTTACGCAATGGAGTAGGTGGCTCCTGTGTATTTACAGACAGTTTTATTTATTTTAAAAAAAAATACCATTCATGCCTTCTACCAAAAAAACATGCTCTTGAAATATTTAATACAATATTACAAAATATTAACTGAACTGATTTTTTAAAAATTATAAAATTTTAGTTTTTCTAGAAGTAGACATATAAAAGCTAGAATCTGTGTTTAAATGAAACCCACTTTCTTAAAGCAATGTTCTGGAGCAAGCTGTGCACCATTTAAAGTTCTTTGAAGAAAACCTGGCCAGCTGGATGAGTTCATACGAAAACCTGAAATCAATAATTATTTTTATAACAGTAAAAATGAAACTTTATTTACATTATCCTCAATGGATTCTGTGAAAAATTAATTCAACTTTACAAATGTTTTGCTCAATTGATTCAGTGATAAGAATTGTATACCTAAAGGTGGTTGTAGAAGTCCTTTGTGCTGCTCACAATAGCCAACTGGATGCAAATCTCCAGAATCAACCAAGCGCCAAAAGTCATTTTTGTCATCACTGCCATCCAATCGCAGACGGAGTCGTGGTCCTTGCATATCTATGACCGTGGCTATGCAGCTGGATGTATTATTTCGTGGATCATTAGCCTCTAATTTCATTGATTTGCTAAATTCATTGGAGGGAGGTGTGGAAGCCTGAATAAGATTATACGTTTTTTAATGGAGAGACAAAAATGGGACTTCTTGGTTAAATTTTATAAAACCAAATTGCATTATTTACAGCTTTCACACTCTTCAGACTTAAACTAATGAGTAATGGAATATTGAGTATCTCCATGCTGATCAAATGGGTTTACCCACAATCAGGTTCGAATATGTTTGTCATCATTAGAGAATGAAAAAATGTATACTCAATGATGTAAAAATCCTTTAAGGAAATTAAAATAACATATTTCAAACCTGTTTAAAACATGTGGTCGGGGCTGCTTTAGCCTCATTATCTTTCAGATACTGATCCCAAGAGAATCCTAGAAGATAAATGAAAATAGTTTGATCAGCCATCTCTTGTTATGTTCAAACGACAACATAAATGATTTAGAAAAGGAAATGAGATAAGTTTACTGTGAACTTTATTTATGGACGTGAATGTTTGGTATGGAAAATATGTTTTGTGTAAAGAATATATGGGGTAGCTGTAAATATGTACATATTGTGTGATTTATTTGGGTAAGGGAAATAATGTGCGAGTTGGTGTTATGGAACGATAGCCGTGCTGAAGGGTTGGATGTCATGAGCAGTTTATATATTCAATAAAGAGACGTTTCTTATATGAATCAATGGGTTTGTTTAAAATTATTGTAACCCTCGACAAAAAAGTAACCCTCAACAAAAAAGATATCGAATTTGGCAGTTCCCGGTTCATAACAAAGTCTTGCTGTTCAATTAGTATTTCTTATGATTATAAACATGCTAAATTTTTAATTTGAGGAATTCATGAATCTTGATGAAAGGTTTTGTTTAAATATTTGAAAAAAGAAAGATTTTCAGTGTCAGAGCTGAGTTTTGTATTGAGGATGGAATCAAAGTGGCTGGTTTAATTTCTAAAGTGAGAGAATCCAAAAAACACTTAATGATACAAAATGAATATGCTTGATCTGGAGGAAAAAAATTGTTGATATTTAGGACTTATTAAAAATATATGCATAAAAGTAGGGGTACCCATGGGGAGGGGGGGGGGAGGCAAAGACACATACAGTTTTGAAGAAGCATAAAACACAAACAACTTGAGGAGGGGAAGAGGGTTGAAATTCCAGAGTGCTCTACATTACAAACAAAATTGCTCTGTAATTTACTCAACTTTTAATTTAATATGACCTGCTTTTAAATGCTTTCTAATATCAAGAAATGTTTCATTACAGTCTTTGGTGCACCACCCCCTCCCAAAAAGCTGGATTTTAAAAATATTATACTTTGTATTTAACCTAAACTATTAGAAACCAAATCACCCTTCTCCAGTTATATTGAACTTACCTTGTTTTTCTTGAAGATAAGACCAACCCTTGGCAGATGATGTGGACATTATTTCAGTTGGTATAAGACATTAGAAGACAAAATAATGCTAAAATTCCTTAATTTGATTTGGAAGAATAAAAAAAAAATCATTAATAGACAGTTGTTGCAATGATCATAAAGAACAGCAAAATAATATTTTATTTGATCAAATGGAAGCAATTAAAAATTGCTTAACATTGGTTATTTTGATATGACATTTAACTTTTATTGCAAGTAAGCTACATTTATGCATGGTTCACTAACAAAATGCTGTCAAATAATAAGTTAATTATTTTTCTTGCTCTTTACACTCAAGTCAGAATAGTTAGAAGATATAAAATAAGATTTCTGGTGAGAGATAATGGGTGGAATAAAAGAGTCATTCAAAATAATAAAAAATTAACATTTTTTTTATGTTAAGAATAATGATATAGACTAACTCACTGCGCAAATATTTTATATTTTAAAAATTGTCAATTATTAATGAAATTTCCATTTTTTTTTTAAGGAAAACAAATTAGTTTATTAGTGAAAATATGGGTTGGAAAAAAACAACACAAGTTCAAAATTAGTCAAATTACCAAAAAAAACCTCCTAAATTTACCCTATAATGACATCGAAACTTAAACTAATATATAGATATATATATTACCTCTTAACCTACCTGAATATTACCCAAAAATTTAAATAAATAAATTGTCTATTAAAATGGAAGTATCGACAGGTCGACACTGGTTGACTCACATTTCCAGTCATTCACATTGTTCAACAAATAAAAATACAAAACTTTTACTTTTAACGACTTTTTTTCTGGTGTTCATCTTGGGTTTTCAGGAAGGATAAGGTTCTTATTTTATTTCTTTTGAACTTTGTAAGTTGAATTTTCAAAAAAACCTTCGGTGAAGGGAAAATTTTATTTTAATTTATTTCATACCAACTGTATCTGTATCTATCGACTATCATCACTTTATGTTTTTGACGTAAATAATGCTCATTGAAGAATGGGAAAGTTATCATTCTGATCGTTCAGGTCCAACTATTGGTTCAGTCATCCTAAGTCTAGTATTGGGTTTCTCCAAGTGCAGTGACCTCACTGCACGTGGGGTGAGACAACTCTTTGCAAAACCCATGCCAATAACTGCACATTTACTGTTACCTAAAATGCAAATTAATTTTAAGTAGTTTTAAATTTAAACCAAGTCCAGTCCTGTAAGCCTGCCTAAGGTTTCATTTTACGAAATAGAAAAAAGAATCACTATAACCACAATCATAGCATAAGATGACTCTGAATGTCAAATGTAAATTTTAAATGATCGATTGTCATGATTGATCGCAAGTCACAACTAAAACAAACAAATATTGACATTATTATTGAATTTTTTTATTGAGTCATCAGATCAAAGATTTCTAAGTAGAATGAAAACAGTAATTTTAATAGCCCTAATTTTTTATTAAAATATATTTTAAAATATTTATACCTTTTTCTGATGTTTAAAAAATATCTCACCAGGTCATTAAGTCATAATATCAAAGTAATATTTATTATGCTGTATATGTTTGTTTACAGCCAGTTACAAGACTGACGCCATTTTAGCGGACATCTCGCATGTTTCTCGCCAATGGCAATTCTCGTGATCCATACGTACTTTCCTCGTTGTAAATTTCTAAGTATTTGTTACTAAGACGTTAAAAAAATAATTAAATCCATTTTGAAACAAAATACAAAATGTTTCGTTTACACCAACTTAATATTTTAAAATGTAACATTACAAAATGACATCATTGTAAAAACTAACCTAAAACACTGATTTTCTGCTAATCAGGCTTAGAAATAGACCTAACTAAGAAATATTTTTTCCACAAGCTAGGAGCCGTTAGGATAGCCGCATCGTTTCTCAAACCGTTGCACATATGCTAGAATCTAGAATGGATGCAGCAGCAACGTAATCTATCAGAATCAGACAAGCAGAATTAATTGGTTCAAAATTTTGTGTAAATTTGACAAGGAAAGGAGGTTGAAAAATAGGGTGAATGGTGTGATGAAGAACCAGAGACGTAGCTTCGGGGCCGTCCATAAAGTATGTCACACTATTTTTTGGGGGAAAAAATAATTACCTTTACACCCCCCCCCCCCGGTCACACTCTGTTACAAATCTCAGACTAGGGTGAAAGGTGTGATGAAGAACCAGAGACGTAGCTTCGGGGACGTCCATAAAGTATGTCCCACTATTTTTTGGGGGAAAAAATAATTACCTTTACCCACCCCCCCCCCGGTCACACTCTGTTACAAATCTCAGACCACACCCTGAACATCATTTCAAGTTCGTTTTTTTTTAGGTGAGGGAGGCAAAAATCAAAACTTGGTCGGCTTAATGAGTTGTTTATTACTGGAGGTGCCACACTGCATAGTTATGTTATATAGTTATTTAAATAAAACCTGCAACTTCCCCCCTGCCCTACCCAAATGACGTAAAAAGGTGGGGGGGGGGCAGATTGAACATGTCTGATAAGCGTAATTTCATACAACTGTAAATGACAAACATTTTATTAATTCAATTATATAACCTTTTGTTACGAGATGTTCTCACTTTTTTTTTCTGGGCCACCCTGTAGATAGTTTTAAAGGTAATGAAATAATTCATTTAAGCTCTTTCAAGAAAAAAAAAAATTAGGGCAAAAACAATATATCAAAACCCAATCAATCTAGGCCCACTTTCATGAAAATTAATCTTTAAACGAATAGAGCCATCATTTAAAAAAAAAAAATCATTTGAACTAACCCGGGCGGGATGCACAGCCAACGATAAATAACTTTTGCCCAAGTCTAAGTAAATAGTGGAACAAGATAATTATGTTTAGGCTTGAAAAGAAAAGACAATTAAATTGTCAAGAATACTTTACCGCAAAGCAAATTTTTGGACCTTAATAATTATGGACTTGAGCGGCATAAATACGTCTTTCCGTTAGCTTTGACCCTGGAAAGACAAACAAACTGAATAGTCTGAGTAGATATAGAGAAATAAGCCTGCTGATGTTTTAGGATTTGATCTAATACAGGAAAATGCCCCACAATAAACTATGGGATCCTTGGAAAATGTTTGACGTTAAACCAGAGGAATTGAGAGCTATTAAAGAGAGAGCGAAAATGAGACAGGCTCTAAAAGCGGAATGGAATAAAAAGTTAACAAACCCGTGGAAAGGAACACACAGCGGAGGATACTTGGTAAGTTGGATTTTTACCAATTTTACTAAATTTTAGTCTACTTACCTACTTACTATTAGCATTTAAAAAATTCTTTGTTCTTACTACATCGTGTAGCTGTTTAAATTTTTTTAAGGCTGCGACTATTAGTAATAAACTACCATTTAGTTTAAAATTAATATAATTAAAGGGACTGGGGTCCGAATTGAATAGTGAATAGTGGCTATGCCATGGTCCATTTTGACTAAAAGCTATTCGGATGTTATTTGTGGTAGTTTATTTTAGTTAAACCGAAGAATTAAGTTAACAAACATATAGTCCATTCAATTATCTTTCATTTGATACCAAAAGTTTATCATACAAACCCAATAATAATATTTTAAACATTTTTTAATCAGCAACCTTTCACTTCTGGTAGCGGGGTCTGAATAGCCACTTCGATCTATTAATCAATTTGTAGCAAACTACCAATTGCCAATGGCTTCTAGAAAGGTATTGGCATTGGTACTTGACTACCAGTAGCTTCTAGGCGACTATTGGTAGTTTACTATAAAAAAACTACCAATTGTTGATAGTATTGTGATGATGTAGTGCAGTATTGACTAATTCTAATCATTGGTAGTCAGTATTTTTTAATTTTTTTTAATTACATCACTGAAATCACTCTTATGTTGCCGAAAAAAGTGTATGAGTATGCAAACATTTATTTTTTGTGTCTTGTCTCATAAATTCACTCCAATCGGATTTTCAAGACATAATACACTTACTTCTTCTTTATTTGTAAGCCTATTTTATGTATTGCGGCTTATGTTTTCATCAGATTCTGTGCAGTTTAAAACATTAATTCTGCATAGCATTAAAAAAATAAATACTGATTCCAATTAGTAGGGGTGTGCCGGAGTCCGGTCCGGAATCCGGTTCCGCCGGATTTTGCACTATCCGGTGAAATCCGGTTCCGCCGGATTTACATGTAACCGGAACAACCGGATTCCGGAATCCGGAATATACCGGATTTCGGAATTTGCCAGATTTTGTGACTTACCGGATCATAATCTGAAATAAAAGTAATTCTCTTTCCCGAATTTCACACGATCACGATACATTAATCGATTGTTTCGAGCGTTGAGCTTGTTTAATGTTTAATATTCCGTACATACCAGAGGCTAGAGTCAGCACCGCTAATAGTGGCCAATAGTGTAGGGACTTTGATAAGAAAATTTAAACTTTTTGTAAAAATAAACCAATGGCATAGTTGAAAAGATGTAATTTTTTAAAGAATTATAACACCAAAATCATATTTTTAGCTGTTGTAGTTTTAAAGTTATGAATTTTTAAAGTACGACTTGGTTTGTCATTTTTTAACATGGACTGCATCTCCACATTCTGTGATCTCATTCCACCAATCCCGTCATGCGCAATGACTATATAGTTTATATAAGGCAACGCATTCCCTGCCTTATCACTAAAATACTGTTTAGACTTAGTTTAAACTTTCAACTTTGGCACATGAATAATTAATTAAAGCTTTCCCTGACCAATGGTTTAATAGTTTTTGCACACGGCAAACTCTTATGAATGAAACTCTGAGGTAGTACTACGATACAGTTATGCAAGTGGCTGTGAATGGTTGCCAATGACAACGTGTTGCACACGGTAAATTCTGATCATTTATAATATGGATTCTACCGGGTTGTTAAAGCTCAAATTAAAACATTCCAGTTTAAATGTCTTTAAATGCATTCTGAAACACAAGTTATCAATTATTTTGATGTAAATAGTGATAATAAATTAATATTTCCTAAGTATCGTCAACTTCCGCCATTAAAAAGGGGGGCGTGGCCAACCCCATGGCGAAATTAGGTTGAGCGAGCTGCATGACCTGCTGCGAACGCGTAGAAACATGGCGTCTCTCGTAAGACACTTATCCAAATGGAACGGAACTCAAATATATATCGAAAGTACTAATTTAATAATAAATAGACACACACATCGGAAAATTAAAAACTCGGATTTTTTGGCGCCGATTGCGAATTCCCATACACAAAAAGTAGTAGTCCACCTTGACTTACCGAAGTATCTACCAATAGTACCAAAATCCGGAATCCGGGAGAAACCGAAATCCGGATTATTCCGGAATCCGAATCCGAATCTGGATCCGGCGGATTTCGCATAAGAAAATCCGGATCCGGTTGGAAAAAACGGATCCGGCACACCCCTACCAATTAGTTAAATTAATTTGTGTTATAGATGCACAATATACCCAATGAAATTGTTTAATTGTAATTGTAACATTAAAATACCGGTATTGATGCATTTAAAAGTTAATGAGAACTCAATTTTGTAAATAATAACAGTAGACCTATCTCCCAACAGAAAATTTATAATGGTGTAGGGTGTGTGTCACGTGACCATGTTCCTAAACAAAGATTGGCCTGAGCTTATGTTATGCCTAATCACATTATTATACAGTTTCATTAAACTAAAGTAAAAAGATTTATTTTGAATGCTGAAAAACTATTGTTATGGTAATTACAGACATATTTGGGCCTATTTTTTAATTTATTATAATTTTAATCATAATAATTATAAATTAGCATGCACAAAATTTTTCACAACTGGATTTTACTTTACAGCACATATTACTTTGGCCTTGGCAATAAAGAGAAGCTGGGTAACATTTTTTCAGACTATGATACCCATGTCCCCAGTATCATACTTCTATCTATATTAATTCTATATTATAAATTATATTTATATAGCAATAAAACCAAATCTGAGCATGAGGAAGGCTGCAGGAGACAGTGTTAAAACAGTAATGTAGATTTTATAAGTTGTGCCGAGGTATTTTCACTAGTACGAAATAGTAATAAATGAACAGAGCAATACTTCCCCAGCGTCATTGAAAGTGAGTTTTAAAAGGTTCAGATTTTGGTTTGATTTATTGGCTGCACTACCAATAGCGCTCTAGAAGCTCTAGGTAGTTTACTACAAATAGCTCCCTAGAAGGCTTGATGCTATTGGTAATAAACTACCAATAGATACTTTCTTTTTTTTAATGTTGGCTAACTTAACTGCTAACACTTTTCATAAGTACTTTTTTTTTGGTTAAAAAAAAAATGAAAAATTATAAAAAAATAGTATGGTAAAATAGATCAAACTTTAAATTTATAAAATGAAACCAAAATCAACTTTCTATCTTTAGTAGTTTCTGAGCTAAGAATTTTCAAAGTACTACTTCATTTGTCCTTTTTAAACATGGATTGCATCTCCACATTCTGTGACCCAATTTTCTACCATATCCTCCAGACCCACCCTTCTCATTGCTCCACTATGTCATAATCCCTTTGCTCCACTGTCTTTTCATGTCCACCTTCTCCGCCTGAACTTGTACCCAATTTGCCAACGCCTCTACTCTCCTCCACCATCTCCCATTTGTTTGGGTACGGTAACCGTCTAATATACGTTTTATTATTTTAAAATTTCATCAGTTTGTTTTCTTTCTTTCAGTTTGACCCAGCTGTTCAAAGGTTTATGGCAATGAAAGCTACCCAAGCTGAACGTTTTAAAGGAACACTGAAATCGGCAGCAATTGCATTTTCCATGTTGGTTTTGCCGGTTTGGTTTCTTACACATCAAGCTATTAAAAAAAGGGTGAGTCATATTACAAAAAATAAAAATAACTACATTGTAATATATTACAAAATTACATTTAAAAGAGTTTAAATTAAATCTAAAAAGTGTCTAGTTAGATTTTATGTATGGTTTTGACTTGTCTGAAAATGCACACTTTCTCTGCTCCCTTTTGTTGATACTCTTAATTTGCTTTTCCCATACATACACACACAAAAAATAAACTATTGTTCATTAATTTCGGATTACGGATTATGTATTATGGTGAACACACCTGGTAAATAATGTTCTAAACTTCTAAAGAGTAGACCATCGCAACATACACAAAAAAAGTTGTGTTTTTTTTTTGAGGGGGGGGGGTTTATTTGTAATAATATCTGTCCTTTAGATGGTTAAATTTCTGGTTTCTGGTGTAAATATAATTATAAGTTGTTTGTAAACCAAACACAAGTAAATGAATAATTAGTAAATAATATTAGTCGTATAACTAATATCTAATTAATGTTGTATATAAAAGGGTTGGACTGCTATAAAGCTGTTAAGTAGATAAATGAGACGCAAACACTTTTTGTAATGAAACCAGACATGTTAAGCTTTAATTATATTGTTATAAATAATACTCAGGATGATGCAGGTTCTATCAGTGGCTACTTTAATTCAAACATTCACATTACCCAAAAGAGGAATAAATATCTGTTTGTATAATTTCACAGAAAAAAATATACACTCTTTGAATCCTGTAAATTTCTCACACTTAAATCATTTAATTCCTCTTAAATATATTAATTTTCATGGCTGCCTCCCATCAAAAAACTTTTGATCTCACAGATAACCAAATAAAAAATATCATTGGCCAGCCTTTATTTTTCTCTAAACACTGTATTACTATGCACTGGGAATATAGAATATTATCTGTATTCAATGGTTTCCTATCTGTGGTTCTTACATTCATAATAACATTTGTGACACCCTCCCCATATGCATCTTAGCTGATGCCTGAATTGAAAGACAGGGCAATAAGATAAAAACATGTTGGCTAAGAGCCTTCCTCAGCAGACAGGACAAATGAAAATATGACAAGAAATAGAAACAAGTTAAAAACTTATGTGATCACCATTGTTATTCAAACTGCTTGACCACAGTCCTTCATTTATTAAATGATGCCACAGGTGCTTAAAAAATAAAAACAAAATCAGCTACGTCATTACCTATATGTAATTTAAGATCACTGTAGTTATTATTTAAAGTTGAACAACGTAATCCTAATAAAAGCTTAACATATATTGTTTTATTTTTATTATAAATTATTAAGTATTTGTGTCTCATTAACGTTCAATGAAATGATAGCTTATTGTTGGCTTACCATTTAATTGACCAATCTGACTTTTAATTAAAATCGGTTGACCTAGTTTTATTGCTCTGTCTAGTGTACTGCATAGAAATATCGTACAGTACAATTATTTTGGACTAGTAGTATCCATCTGATTTAAGAAATGTAATTTAGAGCTAAGTTCTAATTTATTTTTAAAGAGTTAATAGGCCAACTGAATTGATATTGTAAAAATACGGTGTTGTTATTGCACAAATACGCTGTTGTTATTGTACGAATACACTGCATTGGTTTTATTTGAAAATAAATAATAGCCTTAAACTAATATGTACAATTACTTTCACCAGGATTACGATGAAAAGCGGTACAGAAATGGAGAAGTGATGTACAAAGATCGAGAAAAATTTTTCTAATAGTTTGCATAGTGAGAACGATCAGTTGTGATGAGATATTATGAATGTAATGTTCCCCTACAGATGCCTTGTGTGATTGTTTTTATTATTTGTTATAGACAAAAACCTGTCGCCACTGTTAGCTTTATGTTTAGTAATTATTAGTATGCTTACAATTGATCCACTTAAAACAATGCAGATTGTGGTGAACATTGGCAGCTGCTCTAGAAAAAGCAGTTTGATATCAGAAACATATTTATAATGTGAAGATAGATTTGATTGTATTCTAGTGGAGATTCGATAAAATGTAATAAAAATTAATTATTCCATTCTAAAGCTCGAGACTTCTCTTTTGGGTCTTCATGAGCTGTTTGTGTCTATGTGAGCTGTGTGCGTGTGTCTACATGAGCTGTGTGTGTGTGTCTACATGAGCTGTGTGTGTGTGTGTCTTCATGAGCTGTGTGCAAGTGTCTATGTGAGCTATGTGCGTGTGTCTACATCAGCTGTGTGTGTGTCTACATGAGCTGTGTGTGTGTCTACATGAGCTGTGTGCATGTGTCTATGTCAGCTGTGTGTGTGTCTACATGAGCTGTGTGTGTCTACATGAGCTGTGTGCGTGTGTCTACGTGAGCTGTGTGCGTGTGTCTATGTGAGCTGTGTGTGTGTGTCTACATGAGCTGTGTGCAGGCGTCTATGTGAGCTGTGTGTGTGTCTGTGAGCTGTGTGTGTGTCTACGCGAGCTGTGTGCAGGCGTCTATGTGAGCTGTGTTTGTGTGTCTACATGAGCTGTGTGTGTGTCTACATGAGCTGTGTGTGTGTCTACGTGAGCTTTGTCTGTGAGCTGTGTGTGTGTCTATGCGGGCTGTGTGTGTCTACATATTCTGTGTGTATTTCAACAAGTGTGGGATTTAGGTAATTGTATGTAACACTCTCAATATATTCTTCTCCGTACCGGTCAGTATGCTTTAAAAGGATGCAACTAGTTTTTTACACATATTCCACATCTAGTTAGTATACACACATACAAGGTCTGCAATTAGTGTACATGTGAATGCATACATCCCTACCAGGCCTGCAACTGTTGAGTGTACATTATCATTTCATGTGTACACCCATACCATGTCTACAAATAGTGTACATATACACCAGGCCCACACCTAGTGTGTGTGTCTATGTGAGATGTGTGTGTCTACATGTGCTGTGTGTGTGTCTATGTGAGATGTGTGTGTCTACATGTGCTGTGTGTGTGTCTATGTGAGATGTGTGTGTCTACATGTGCTGTGTGTGTGTCTATGTGAGATGTGTGTGTCTACATGTGCTGTGTGTGTGTCTATGTGAGATGTGTGTGTCTACATGTGCTGTGTGTGTGTCTATGTGAGATGTGTGTGTCTACATGTGCTGTGTGTGTGTCTATGTGAGATGTGTGTGTCTACATGTGCTGTGTGTGTGTCTATGTGAGATGTGTGTGTCTACATGTGCTGTGTGTGTGTCTATGTGAGATGTGTGTGTCTACATGTGCTGTGTGTGTGTCTATGTGAGATGTGTGTGTCTACATGTGCTGTGTATATCCACACCAGGTCTGCAACTAGTTTGCCTCTGAGACTCTAGAATAATTGACTCGTAAAAGGCTGTAAAAAAAAACAAGACTTTAAAAAGTTGTAAGATCAGTTCAATCCCATTTTAATATAAGATTGTATTCATAGACTGTGAAAGAAGAGTTAAATTCATTTTACAAAACATTACATTGATAACATGTTGAGTCGAATTCTGCACACAGGTAGCACTGGAATCAAGATTTAGTTGTAAATAACATGAATTTATAGTACCGGTATTAAAAAAAAAAATCTCAGAATAACATAATGCAAAAAAACACAACCAACTTTATTAAGATATCTTGTTATAAAATCACCAAGTTTATGTCCGAGTGTATGTAGACAATTACAATTAAAATAATAGCCGTCGTCAGAGATGTACTTTTAGCGATAAAATTGTTGGTAGGAAAAATCAACAGATCTAATCCCAGATCAAAACTTTCAACAAAGTAATGGTCAAATCTGAAAGTAATTCTGACAAAAATTGTTCATAAATGTAAAGGTCTAACATTTTGAAAGCAAATTGACAAATGAATGTGAAGAAATTTAACCACAAATGAGATCATACTAAAATGTACAAATATATCCATGCATAAATGTTATAGAATTATGAATGGATTTTAAATAATCCAGTAAGTGAATTATATATTTGTTAAAGTCTGTAAAATAACTTTGTAACAGACAGTTAATATTTGTATAAAATGAAATACAATTAGCCTAAGGAAGCCATGCATTGTGGTTAGTCACTTATGAAGATTTTGTCATAGATATCCAGGGTGAAAGGAAATGAAAAGATGAGCAGCAGAAGTGTGGTAAAATATCTATCTTTTATTCAAAGAATTGTGAAGACTTCAGCTCTCAATTGATCTTGAATGTTAGACACAGTGTTGACTGAGGTGATCTTGAATGTTAGACACAATGTTGGCTGAGGTGATCTTGAATGTTAGACACAGTGTTGGCTGAGGTGATCTTGAATGTTAGACACAGTGTTGACTGAGGTGATCTTGAATGTTAGACACAATGTTGACTGAGGTGATTTGAATGTTAGACACCATGTTGACTGAAGTGATCGTGAATGTTAGACCCAATGTTGACTGAGGTGATCTTGAATGTTAGACACAGTGTTGACTGAGGTGATCTTGAATGTTAGACACCATGTTGACTGAGGTGATCGTGAATGTTAGACCCAATGTTGACTGAGGTGATCTTGAATGTTAGACACAATGTTGACTGGGGTGATGTTGAGTGTGGACATATTGTTGACTGGGGTGATGTAGTACATTTGTTGGTGATTATAATGAAACAGGTGGGCCGAGTCTCATCATGGATGAAAATGAAACAGGTGGGGGGCTACTCTCATCTAATGAATGCATGATAATAAAACATGTGGGACTACTCTTATCAAATGAATGGACGATAATGAAACACGAGGGGCTACTCTCATCAAATTAATAGATGTTGATAAAATAGGTGGGACTAATTTAGTAGTCACATCTAATGGATGAGTGATAATAAAACAGGTAGGACAGGTCTCATCTAATGAATTGGTGATAAAGGAACAGGTGGGACTAGTCTCATCTAATGAATGGTGATAAAGGAACAGGTGGGACTAGTCTCATCTAATGAATGGTGATAAAGGAACAGGTGCGACTAGTCTCATCTAATGAATTGGTGATAAAGGAACAGGTGGGACTAGTCTCATCTAATGGATGAATGATAATAAAACAGGTAGGACAGGTCTCATCTAATGAATGAATCATTGAATGGGAAATGAGGATGAAACAGGAGTGGGTAGCCAGAATTGTCAACCAACGAAGCTGACGTGTTCAACATGTTGCCATCGTCAAGTTCAATGTAAGCAGAAGAATCACGTGTGTCTTTAAGATTATCAAACGTGTTTGGGTCCATATGACATAGGCTTACAAGACGATGCTAACTGTGGATGATCTAATGGAGTGGATACACCCTGTGGACGATCTGAGTAGATACAAACTGGGTGATCTGATGGAGTGGATACAAACTGTGGATTATCTGATGGAGTGGATACAAACTGTGGATGATCTAATGGATTGGATGCAAACGGTGGATGATCACAGAGTTCTCAAATCTGTCTCAAATTCATCATCACTTCCCACAACGCCTTTGTCTTCGCTAGATAAAATACTATAGGGCTGCTCCCCGCTGTCACTGTTGAGAAAACTGTGTCCCAGCTTGTCGAGGCCGATCGAAGGAGTCTGTTCAGATCTTCTATAGAAGCAAGACGTAATCAGAGTCAGCAGTAAAAGGAGAACCATATGTACACCACAGTGCCAGCTGAAAAAAAATGGAAATTAAAATAAAATGAAGCGTTAATCAACTAATTGAATGCCCGTTCAAATCTATAGGGCACTTAACTAATCTCAGTCTTAACCTAATGACGTAATAATTTAAAGATTAACATTACCGTGAAATGGGCTCACTTAGCCTATTAATGTATTAATAATATTAAATACTTATATTGAGAAAGTTGTTTTTCATAATTTTCTAGAGTCCTTTCCCCTAGGTTTTTAAATACCAATGAAACGGCCTATTTAGGTCCAGTATTTCAGTACCAAATAAGAAGAGCAGGACCGTCGCGTGACTTTTGGAGCGCCCCTGCCAATTTTAGGTTTAGGTAAGGTGACCAAACGTCCAGTAAAAACCAGTCTGTCCCGTTTTTTCACTATCGTACCCAATGTCCCGAGCACTACCCCATAGGCACGTACTTCTGGCGACTGGACAACAACAGGGTAATGAGGAGAGACTGCAATCAGGTTAGCACAATAAGAAATGAGTAAAACAAAGTAAGGTTAAACCTGAAAAAGGAACGCGCAACAAAAACAAGGAACGTGTCGGCAGGAAGCCTTCGTCAGCGAAGAGAAAAAACAGAATAACATTTAAAAATAGCACTTAGCTTTGAAATAGTATCCGAGAGGGCAGCAAATGAATTGCGTCAGAAAGTAATTTAATAGAGTAAACTAGAGAACTAGTATAACTAATCTAGTATAAAATAGTTTCTTTTTAATTTTTCCACATCACAACTTTAGGGCACCTTAATTATCCTAGGCCCCCTTCAGACGCAGGGGTTTCAGAGCAAAGGCGATGCCTCTGAAGATAATGTTAGCAAGCAAAATCAATCAAATTTTTTTACAAACTAGGAAATGGAACATTAAAAGCATTTCAGTTTCAAATTATAATCACATTTGTACACATGAAAAAGAGCTCTCGCCAGGAGTTGGTTCTCCAAAATGAGCACTCTTCCAGACTTAAAATCTAAACGAGTTAATGGTTACCTCCCTTTGAATGCAGGATAACATGATACTTTAGTTCAGTGGTCAGCAAACTCATTAGTCAAAAGAGCCAACGATCAGCAGCGGGACGATTAAACATTTTTTTGAGAGCCAAATTTCTTTTCAAGAACCTGCCACGAACCATGTTTTTCGTAGTCAAAACCGACTTGTGGCCGACTGGCGAGCCGCACTCAGGTCGCTGAACAGCCGCATGTGGCTCTCGAGCCGCGATTTGCCGACCACCTGGTTTTGTTCATTAGTAGTGTTTCTTTCAGTCAATTTGTTCCAGTTAGAAAAAAAAAAAAAAGTGTG